ATGGCGAGGGCCAGGGCGGCAATCAAGGTCGTCGACACCATGAGAAGGGTGCCGAGGGTGACACCGCTGAGCCCGGCCAGGTGGGTGGTCTCGGTGGAGAGGAACGAGGTGAGTGCCCCGGCCGTGTTCTCCTCCTTGTCGAAGAAGGCGACGTCCTGGCGCAGCATGGTGCGGAAGGCCTGGTCGCGGACGCGGTGGATGAGCCTCTCAGAGCACTTGGCAAAGATGACGCCCTGGCTGACGAAGGCAATGAACTGCACGCCGGCGAGCATAAGATACATGGCGCTCCAGAAATCCGAGTCCTTCTTTATCTGATGGCGGAGAGCCTCGGGGGTGTTGTCGGTAATGGGGACCCCTAGGGTCATGATCTGCTTGGCGAAGAAGACGGCCTGGGTCGGGTTGCCGCCGCCACAGATGATGGAGAAGAGAAGACCGAGGAACATGAGCTTCCACTCCTTCTTGTTGAAGGAGGCGATGAGCTTGATCAGGGTCCACAGGCTGTACTTGGCCTCGCCCTCTTCCGTCCGGTTCTGCAGGGCGATGCTCGACTGGGACTTGGAGGTGGTGGTGCGTTGCATCTTGGCCGCTATGTCGTCTTCGGGGTCAGCGACGTAGCCCTTTTCAGAGACGCGGGATTTCTCGCGAACGAGCTCGTCATCCTTGGCGTCAATGGCCTCTTGCTCCTCGGGGCTCATTTCGTTGACGCGGGCGATGTTCTGGGCGGAGACGAGATTGTAGTAGGCGCCGTTCTTGGCGAGGAGCTCGTTATGGGTGCCCTGCTCGACGATGCGGCCGTTGGACATGACCACGATGTTGTGGGCGTCCTTGATTGTCGACAGGCGGTGGGCAATGGTGATGGTGGTGCGGCCCTCGGCAGCGACTTCGAGGGCGGCCTGCACGACACCCTCCGACTTGGTGTCGAGCGCGGAAGTGGCCTCATCGAGGAGGAGAACTGCGATGTTAGCCGGGATTCGTCGTCTCTGCTGGCCGGACGGACTTACTCTTGGGATCGGACACGACGGCGCGAGCGATGGCGATACGCTGCTTTTGACCACCGGAGAGGAGGAACCCGCGCTCCCCGACGTTCGTCATGTAGCCCTCGGGAAGGCTGCTGATGAAGTCGTGTGCGTTGGCCATCCTGGCGGCATTCTCGATCAACTTCTTCCGCTCCACCTCGGTGGCATTCTCGTGCCGGGTGCCGATGAGGCCGTACCCGATGTTCTGGTAGATGGTGGTGGCGAAGAGCGTGGGCTCCTGGCTGACAAGGGCCATCTGCTGGCGGAGCCAGCGCAGGTTCAGGGTGCTGATGTCGTGGCCGTCCAGATACACGGACCCGCGGACGGGGTCGTAGAAGCGCTCGACGAGACCGACAATCGTACTCTTGCCGGAGCCAGACGCGCCGACCAGGGCCGTGGTCTTGCCGGCAGGAATAGTCAGGCTCACGTCCTCCATGACAGTGACCTCGGGGCGGGATGGGTAAATGTGCTTGATGTTCTCAAGACGGATGGAGCCCTCGACCTTGTCGAGCTTGATGCCGTCCTCGGCTGAAGGGTCCAGTGGGGAGGCACGGTCGATGGTGTTGTAGATCTTGGCGGCCGCGGCGAGGGCGGTCGTAAAGGCCTGCGCGTTGGGGGCGACATTTCCGAGGTTGAAGGCACCAATCATGACGGACATCATGATGATGAGAATATCGGACAGGGGAATGCCGTCCTCGGTCAGGAACTTGCTTCCCTGCCAAAAGGCGAGGCCGTAGTTCAGATACAGGATGGTCATCATGAGAGCGACCATGATACCGATGGCGGCCTTGACCTTGTAGCCGTACTTCTCAGCCTTGGTCAGGTGCACGTCGTACTGCTTGGCCAGGCGGTCCTGGGTGCCGAAGGCGATGGCGTTACGGATGGAGCTGATGACCTCGTCGGCAAGACTGCCCCCTTGGGCGTAAGACTCGATGGACTGCTTGCTGTACTTGACGATGAATCTCGAGGCGCTGCCCATGCTTAGCATTAGGGCGGCGACGGTGGACAGCAGGATCAGGGCGAGCTTCCAGTAGTGGACGAAGCCGATGACGAATGCCGAGATGAAGGTTGCGATGGCGGCGAGTGTGAGGCCGACCTTTTCGGAGATGCCGTCCTGGATCAGGTTGGTGTCGGCCGTGATTCGGGTCGTCACCTCGCCGGCGCCCAGCTTGTCAAAAAAGCCAATGTTCTGGCGCATGCAGCTCTGCAGGTAGTGCTCGCGGATCTTGGCGCTAATGTGCTCTCCGGTGTCTATTTTGGTGAGCTTTAGTTCAGGGCCAGTTCGGACGATGCCGCCAGGGGCGCAAACTTACAGATGAAGCCGACCGTACTAATGTACTGGCAGACAAAGACGCCGATTGCGAGATATACAAAATACAAAACCAGGCTTACCATCTCATGGTTGAACTCGTCCTTGGTGACGATGCCGGCGAAGTAGTTCTGGAAAGTGCCCTGCAGGTTGCCGAAGACGACGGTCATGAGGGGCAGAGCGGCGCCGACGACGATGGACGCGAGAGCGGCGACGACGAGGATGAGAAGGTCGTTGGTCGAGGAGTAACGGTACAGTGTCAGAATGCCGGCCTTGACCTCGGGGGTGAAGACCTGGCGCCTGAGGATGGCGGCCTCGTCCTCGGGGAGGTGCTCGTAGGGGTCATTTCTGGGGTCCTTGGGCGTAATGGCTTTGGAATCAGCCTTTTCGAGGTTGTCGGGCTCGGCGCTCCGGCTCTTGGACGGGCCCGAGGCGTCCACCTCAGTCGAGTCGCCGTGTGACGATGCCCTATCCGAGTGGCCATTGCCAGACTTCTCGACTACCTCCGCCGAGTTTTGTTGGAAAACCCCGGCGGGCTTTTCGTTTTCGAGCGTCATACTGGGGGTCTTCCAACAGAGCTGCGCAGTACGAGGAATCGGGGGCTAAAGAGCCGAGCTTGTTGTGCAGGTATGCGCGGCGCGCAAGCCGGAGGGAGATGTTGCCACCGACCGTTGATGTTTGTATGACAAGCTCAAAAATGACACTTTTTTTTCTCTTCTTCTTCTTCTTCTGCTATCGCATGAGATGCCGTTGCATATACATGGGCTTCTCAAGCTGCCTGATCCGCGAGAGGTCAGTTGCAGAAGAAGAGGGGAGAGAAGGAAGAAGACTAACCGATGACGGTGGAAGCCAAGAAATGTCTTGCAGCCGACCGGATGGAGATGGTCAACAGACGCAAACGAAAGAAAGGGTCCGTGTGGGTAAACAAAATTGTGGGAAACGATAAACGGGCTCCCTTCGCGAATTTAACAAACCCAGGTTAGATCGGGAAGAAGAGGCGCTCTCACTCGGGTTGCAAGCCAGGATAGGGATGGGGGCTAATTATCCGTCGTGGCGTTGCAAGTGAAGGGAGAAAACTACCTATGAAAGTCCCTGGAACCTTGGTCGTGAACAGACTGGGGTGGACATTTCTTGGCACAAACTAGGTAGGTAGGTAGGTAGATAGATGGGTCTGGAGCCAGGATATGTATGGGGCGAACTGGGAGGGGGGACCTGGGCCAGCAATAGAACAATGGTGGATGGCCAACCGGTGTGAGTCCTGGCCTCGCTGTTGTCAACTTCCCGAACAGTCACTAGCCCAGTTGCTACCTGGGTCATTCTCGACTCGGCAAGGCGCATCGATCGGTGCCTCGGTGGAATAAGAGGCCTGTCTCACTGTCAGACGGGCGCGCCCATCAGCTTGGTGCGATAGGGCACGCTGCGAAGAGTCATCGAGGGGATGGTGCGGTAGCACCTCCACCGTTGTGGTGCTACTATACCCAATATATCAATAGTGACGACCACCATGTGCTAGTACACTTGGTGCAGTGAATAAGCTTGCAGAAACGTGCAAGATGCGGTCGACCGGGATTCAGCGGAATCCACTGTCGGGATTGACATTTTGTACTCGAGTCCGGGACTAGACAGATGCATGCGTACCTATTACCCAAGGTAGTACACACCTGGCCTCCTGTGCCTCTTCAGTTATAGCAGTCGGCCTGCCGAGGTTATATTATCTCGGTTGCCCGACCGACGTGCGTACATGGTACATGGGACGACGTCTGCTTAGCTTTTCTGGGTCCCCCGACCTAGGTTGCCTGCCCTCTGCGCGTCATGATAAGGTCATCCGATCGCCAAGCCGACGCACTTCTTAATCAGACATTACATACTCCGTACCTTAGCCCTCGTACATATTGCTAGCTTTTGCCCGTTCTGTCTCGCCGAGGAAGAAGCGGAAGAGGATCTACCTGTCGTACTCAAATAAAAGTCTTGCCTAGGTGATCGGGTCCGGTACCGGATCGAGTCAGTCGGCTACGCCCTAGCGCCGCTTAGCCGCGCTCCCTCGGGATTCACCAAACCCGACTTCCGATCCATTCATTTCCTTGCAAAAAGCCCCCTCTCCAATCCCGGGCGCTATTTCCTGGTCTGACGGCGGAGATTCGACTGTCCTATCACGCAGCGACATGATTACCCCGCCACGCCCACCACCACCCCCCCTCGACAAAGATATGTTGTACTGGACGGGGGCCTGCCCTCCTTATGTCCGGCCCCCCTCAAGCCGGCGATAGCGTCTTTCGGCCCGATGCTAAGGATGAGATTCGCAGTTTGTCCCAGGGACGCGCATGCTGAAAGCGGTGGCGCCAGCTAGTGATCAAGGAAGATTTTGCTGGGTTTAGATGTTTGTGTATGACAGGATAGTGGGAATTGGGAGATGCCTACTAAGGCACTAACTAATACGAGACGGTACACAATATGAACCACGCGCCGTCATAACAAACACAGTAAAAGTACCACACACAGTGCTCAACACAGTCCCTATGTCGAAGAAGCCTACTGTCACCCAATGATTAATCGTCCCAAGATTCGAATGGCAACTGGTTTGGACGAATGGCTTCAACGCCTTAGCGCAAAGCAGGGGTGGGCCTTAGCGTTACCAGACATGACGTTCTGGAAGACAAAGCCTGCCTGCCCTGCCCTGCCTGCCTGCCTGCCTGCCTGCCTGCCTGCCTGCTATGCGGTTGCGGTTGGACATTGGCCGGTGATTTCCCCTTCGGTGTAGATATGATAGGGGTGTGCGAGACCTGATGATGCGGACATAACACGAGTACTTTCTGCTGCTGACAGTGGGGCCGCTACACACTCGTTTCTCGCATTCGCTTAATCACGAACACGAACCGTTTTCCGGATCCTTCTCGACCCAACCCTTTGGCGCCCGGTCTCCTAGGCACACCGGTTTTTGGACGTGTCCTAAGTTGTCCGTCAAAGGGCAACGCGTCGAGAACATGTGCAGCGCCGCCTGCTGGGCCTCGATGACTGCCGCTACGAGCTCACCGGGTTTGCCTTCGCAGGCGTCGTCAATCATCCGCAAGTAGTCCTTCCGCTCCAACCCTGGAATGACGACCGGTAAGTAGCCTTGACGAGTGAGGTAATCCTGCTTGATCATGCGGCTGATGCGCCCGTTGCCGTCAGGAAACGGGTGAACGTGGACAAAGTACGCCGTCATCTGACAAGCCAGAACCAGCGGATGCAGCGCCTTCTCGCGATGTTGCGTGTCGCGCCACTCAAAGAATCGTGCAACGCAGGCGGGAACTTCCTGTGGATAGGGGAAAATTCGTAGACGATTGCTGCGCACTGCGATGGGTAGGTTTCGATATTCTCCAAGCGGAACGCGTGCTCCCCACACCAGGGTGCCGGCCTTGGGGCCCCCGGCCTCGTATCCGCCTCTCGACGCCTCATAGGCCGCCTCGGATTCTGTGTTCCGGATACATACGACGGCGAGATCTCGCACCTCATCCTCGCGGAGTCCCGCCGTGCGAGCCTTTGCTGCCGCGCCCTCGGCGATCCATTGCGATGCGACAATGTGGTTCCTCAGCTCGTTCGTCGCCGAGTCGGTACCGCCCTCGGTCTCGGATGTAACGATTGTGGCAAGCTCACTACTGGACGTTGAAGCCAGGTCCACGCGTCTGAAAACGCCCGTCTGTAACGACTCGAGGATGCGTTTAGCGTCTCTGACGGTCAAATGGTTGTTCTCAATCATGACGGACTGTTGAGCGTATTCTGAAACCATAGTTTTACCCAGTTCCGCCGTCGGAAGGCTTGCTTTCAAGGCGTCGATTTCGTCCAACATGCGCTTGTGCTCCTGCTGGAACCCTACGTACCCTTTTTCGAGGCTGTTGCCGGGCCGGAAGTAGTCTTCCCATATCCGCCCCGAGGACGCGAGCTCAGCGTACTCCAGGGACCCTTTCTGCAGCCGCAACGCCGGTTCGTAGATTTTAGTTAGCAATGCCCGGCGCGCTTGCCGTTGTTTGCTCAAGAGCGCCTTGCCAGACATCTTGAGGCTATCCGTGGTGTGGTGAGCAAAGAGGTGGGCTCCGTGTGTATGCGACCACAAGCACGAACCTGGTTAAGTCTTTTTTTTTTTTTTTTGCGAAAGGGATGCCATGCCTGCTCCCCGACAGAGTTAGAGAGGAAGCCGGAAAGCTCAAATGAAATATAGCCTCATCGCACCTGGATGGGTCCCGTAGAGCCCTAACTAGGCAAATGGGCTTCGTGCACGTTCTTCCATCCATGCAACTGCAGTGCATACAACAGAGAAATGAGCGACAAAATAAAGGCCCACGTTGTCTGATCCCTCCGGCCAGACTCCTCCGAGTCAAATCTCGCAACCGCTACCCGACTCTCCAATGAAGCCGCAACGGTTACTTCTGATTGCCACTTTCAGCGTAAATGCGCTCACAGCCGACAGAGGCGAGTGGGACACGACCAGGGATCGTTCGAACCGTTGTAACTCTAGCGAGAGCGAGCCAAAAGCGAGCCGATGGCCCTAATTTGTGGAGATTTTCAGCGCGTTATGAATCAATCTCCAAAGGCAGATAGATTCCATGGACCTCAGCCCTCGTTGGCGGCCTAGGGGCTCCGCCCAAGTTTTGGCGGTTGATGTACGTCTTGACGGATCAGCCTTTGGTAGTGTACATGGAAGGATAAAACAACCTCGGTGCAACGTCTGGCGCTTTGACAACGACCGCTCAGACCAAGCAAGGACGGACATTTGGTGGTCGTGAAGGGTCATTGGCGATCCGACCCACAACCTGGACACCTGCCATGCCTTCTTTTTTCCATGGAAGTGGAAGCCTGACAGACCTGCTTAGATAATCGGATCTGGTGGGCGCCACAAGCAACAGGTGGCCCGCTTCCACTCGCCACGCTACGCCACCTTCACCAAAGACTGCAGCCTCCCCTCGACACGTATAACACTCGATCGGACAACCAGGCAATATCACATCTGTCCTTACACTTATCTACCTTGTGTTGGGCAGGCATTCCACACGGAATTACTTTAAATCGTCCTTCAAACACGCCGCCAGCTCCGAAACGTCGTTTCTCATGCTCTGACGCGGAACATCCTCCTCACGTCTCCTGGCAAGCACGGCCCGAACGCGACACAAGGTCGCACCGGGACACACATTTGCAACAAAGAGCCCCCCCACGCATCGCCATCATGCATTGCCCACTTGTCCTCGGCATGGGGCTAACCTCCTTGCTGCCAGGCCTGGCATCGGCCGCAAAGGTGCCGAAAAACGCAATCCTACTCTCCGAGGTTCAGTCCCTCACCCTCCGCGGCGGGGGTGCAAAGACGACCCACCGCCGCGTGGCTGCCGCGCCGCAGCTGAAATGCCTCTCCTCCAAGGCCATCTGCGACTTGCACGAAATTGATGTCATGCGGTGTACCAACCAGGGCGCCGGCTACTCCTCCGAGGACATCCAGTGGTCCTGCGTCGCCTCGCTGCCCGAGGAGCTCAAGCTTGGGTCGACAGACGTCATCTGCGAAGGCTACTCCAGCTCCGACGACCCGTACATCCTCCGCGGGAGCTGCGGCGTCGAGTACCGACTCGCTCTGACCGACAAGGGTGAGCGGCGCTACCCGAACCTCGGCAAAGGGGGGGATGGCGAGTCGGATTGGGGCGCCTATCTCTTCGGGATCCTCTTCGTTGGCGTTCTAGCTTGGATCGTGTACTCAGCATGCGTGGCTGGTGCGCAGAATCGAAGGCACGGCGGGGACGGGCGCCGCCGTGGTGGGGGAGGCGGCGGCGGCGGCGGTGGTCCCGGAGGTGGCGGCGGCGGTGGATGGGACCCCGGCTTTGGCCAGGACGACGACCCTCCCCCACCGTATCCGGGCACGAAACCCACCAACCAAGGCGGGCAGCAGGGATGGCGCCCCGGGTTCTGGACGGGCGCGGGCGCGGGCGGCGCTGCAGGTTACGGAGCCGGCTACTATCACGGCAGGAACAGCGCGAGGAACCAGTCAGGGTACGGCACCGGTGGCGGCTGGGGTAATGACAGCACCTCAAGCTCGTGGGGGGCCGGCCCGTCCAGGTCAACCAGTTCATCGTCGAGCTCGGCGCGCCACGAAAGCACCGGTTTCGGATCCACCAGCAGGAGATAGGGAAGGCGATTTCGTTTTGAAGTAGCCATGGAGTAATCTGAACGTGTTGGGCCAGCTCGACTCTAGGTCTATCCTGTACTCCGCCCTCTCGCACACCGTTCTCACCGGCCTCCGACTATTGTGTGGCCAGTCGAGATTGCCGGAGGGCGTGGCACTATTATGTACATTCCCGGAGCCCGGGTCGTCTTCCATACGCGTAAAAGTACAACCACCCATCATTTCCAATTGCGAGCGTCTTTTGGGTAAACCCCCAAGGTATCATACCATGAAATCCCCTGCTGCGAAAGCGAACTCCAAACTGCGCAAACATCTGTGATGCATAATCAAAACATCGGTTCCTCGTCGCCCTCTCGACGAGTCAAAATAATTCATGTGAGCCAAACCCCCATGACGGGGTCTAGTGATGGACGGACATGACGTCTAACCGGTCGAACGCCCTTGAGCAGTTGGGGCATTTGCGCATGCGGTTGCTGATGCGGTCGTCCACGCACTGGTGGCAGAACAGGTGCCCGCATGTCTTTAGGGCCGTGTCTTTGAAGTTGTTGCGGCATACCGTGCAGAGTGCAAAGGTCTGGGGGTTGCTGTTAGCCATCTGGTCAAACGGGCGGCGGAACACGCCGACTTACCCTAAGCATTTCCTCTTCCTCCGACGAGTTGCTCAACGCCTTGCGCTTCCACTCGTCCTTATCCTTCTGCACCATGTCTGCGCGCACCTTTAGACGCTCGACCTCGGCCTCCTGGGTAGTGGTGCGTTCTCGGGCCGCCGCAACGGCTGCATCGCGCGACTTGACCAAGTTCGTCAGCTCGCTGACCTGGTTCTTGTACGATTCGGCCCGGCGCGCCGCATCGGAGCTGGCGGACTCCATCTTCTTGTGCTCCGCCGCCATGGCCGCGTTGGCCTGCTTCAGGTCCGACAGCTGCTTTTCGAGGTTGCTGATCAGGACTCGGTTCTGGGCCTCGACCTCCTTGAGCTGAGTCACTATCTCGGAACTCTTGCGGTTCTGGCTGCGGAGCACGCTGAGCTCGCGGTCTCTCATGTCGGCATCCTTCTTCACGGCGAAGTACTTCTGGTCGACCTTTTGCTTTTCGGCAAGGGCAGCCGAGGCGCGCTCCTCGAGTACCGTGTACTCCATGACCTTCTTCTGCGCCAGGCCCATCGATCGCTTGTACGCTTGCTGCAGGGCGGGCAGCTCCTTGTTGATGGACTCGAAATCTTGCTGGAGCTTCTTGTACTTGGAGAGCAGCTCGTCCGCGGGCATGCTCTCCAGTTCGGGATCGGGGTCGGCCATCTGCTGGTCCTCGGTGGGCTTCAGGCGCTGCAGCTCAAGCTCCAGGGAAGCGATTCGGTCCTCCTGGGCGCCTGTGAGCTCCTTGAGGTGCTGCAGCGCCTGCTTCTCCTCCTTCTCTCGCGTTTCCAGCATGTTAGCCTTAGCGTACCACTCGTCTCGGGCCGCGCGGATCCGGGTCAGGTCGGCGTCGCGCTCCTCAACCTGACGCTCGAGATCCGAGGTGATCATTTGCGCCTCATCGTTAAGCTTGGTCCGGAACGCCGTCCGCTCGGACTGAAGCCTTTCAGCTTCCTCCCTTAGCTGCTTGTTCGTGGCCTCCAAGTGGTTGATCCGCTTGATCAGGTCTTCGTTCTGGCCCTTGAACTGCTTGAACACATCCGTCCGGATGAAGTCTTCGTCGGTGAGGCCCTCCCTTCGCGCCTTGAGCGCCGAGTTCTCCTCCTGCAGGGTCTTAATGTCCACCTGCGCAGACTCCAGTTGCTCTTTCTGCTTCTTAACGACCGCCGATGCTTCCTCGAACTTGATGAGTGCCTCGGCGGCGTTTCCGTTTGCTTCTGCTGCGGCGCTTCCATTTTCTCCGCCGGCGATTGTTGGCTTGGCGCTAGCGATGAACTGTTGTTCGAGCTTTTGAACTTGGGCGCTCTTCAGCCTGTCCATGCGCTTCTCGGCCTTGAAGAATCGGAGGCTGGCCTTGTTCAGGTCCTCCGACAGTTGCTCGTTCTCTTGCTGTGCACGGTCCAACTTGACCAGATAGTCCTTTTGCTGAGCGAGTAAGGCGTTGACCCGCGTCTCCAGGTCAGCAATGTTCGGCGTAATCTCTCCCCTGGCGTTTGCGATGCGATTGAGCACGGCCTCGGCCCGTTTCTTGATGTCAGAGGCGGTGTCATCCAGGTGTCGTTGGAATTCGTCGTTGTCCTTAAAGTGAGTGCTGGTGATATATGGAGGATCTGTTTGTGTCAGTTCGGATCCGGTTGCATCGGGAGGGGGGTGGTATTTACTGGACGGGCCCAAGGGAGGCGGTAGTGCCGGGTCCGCGAGCTGTTCCATCTCCTCCAGAACCTAGTGAGAGTCAGCCAAGCACCTAGGTACGGGATCTGTTGGACCGACCTGTTTCCACCATGCTTCAATGATGCGGATATGGTCTTCGCGGTATACGAGGGTTTTCTGCAGTTGTTCAACGCGCGACTCGAAGTCGGCCTTTTCCCTTTTTGTTTCTTGCAATTGTCGATAAATGGCGCCCTTTTGATAGTTCTGAACTCATCATCAGCTCGGGCCCCTTTCCATGTATTTCGCGCCAGGCGATCGTGTTCAAGTGTGAAAGCGTGGAGGGAGATCGGATGCGTGCAAGGTAGGTAGACGCAGTGCCGTCATGCAGCCTCGTCGGCGGATCGAAAGGTCATTCCAGGCCAGTCGACCGCGACCCGCCAGTGTTGGACGTGGCTTTGAGCATTCGATGGTCGTGATGTCGCGTCGCCATTGATGGCAGATGGGAATCGGGCGGGGGTCCATTGATTGTTGAGAAAACTTGACGTGTTGGGAAACTGTGATCTCGTGACACTTACCTCGATCCAGTGCTCCTCGGCGGTGTCACCACCGTCGCCCTTGGACTTGCTTCCATTGACGGTCTGATGCCGCTTGCTGGGCGGGGCGAGGTCCTCAGCGGTGCTGATAGGAGGTCTCTTCCTGTCCTCCATCTTGGATAAGGTGGACGGACGGGGGGAAGCAGTCGGGGCTGAGGTTACTACAGGCATGAGAAAGGTAGGGATGCTGCAACAGCGTACGCATCCGGGTCGGCGAGGCGATCAAGGCGGCTGGATGGAACAGCTGAGGGTTTTCAGAAGTCGATCCGAGCCATACGTGTGTTGGGATTGTCGGGCTAGTCTGATTCGGCGCGGAATGAGGAAGGAAGCCTTGGGCAAAGGAGGTTGAATTTTCGAGGTTGAACGCCGACGCTTCACGTTCAAATCAAGCCAGACCGGTCCACTCCTCAAACAGGACTAGCTTCGCGCTAGTCCGGATGGGGAACCGTCCTCTTATCGGCCAGTCAGGCGTCCCGCGCAAAGTACACGGTTCGGTTAATCGTCGGGGTCCCTCAAATTCACTTATCACTTTTTCTCGAGATCCCGCCATCCCGCCATGACTGACAAAAAGTCTGGTTCGCAAGCGACAAGCCACCACCTGCAACCACTCGACTACCCCGTACACCTCTGCTCCGGCCATGAGGCTCTATAAACGACGGTAATAGATCATATGCACCATCGCCATCATGAGTTCCATGTTCAAGAAAAAGGGCGGTATGGCTTTCAAGCCGAAAATGCCCCAGGCTCGTCCTCGAGCGCCTGGGGCTGCCGCGCCGCAGCCCCCGAGGGCGCCGTCGTCGACTGCGACCGAACCCGCGGCCGAGGCAGGGACTCCCGCCGTTCCGAGCGATACGCCAGTGCAGGTGATGGCCGGAACCAGCGCGGGAGCGAAGGATCCCGCCGGAGAACAGCCCACCAACACCCCGCCATCGACCGAGCCGAACACGATGCCCCAACCACAACCGTCAGCGGATGAGCCTGCTGCTCCTGCTTCGACATCGAACAAGAGCAACCAGAGGAAAGCCGCCGAACCTTTCGCCAGCCGGCCAACAGCGCAGACGTCAACCGCCTCTGTGCAGAGCGCCCAGCAGCCAGCATCGGCTGCCGGCGAAGCCCATATGTCCGAGACGTCAACGCCCGCCGCCCAGCTAAATACACCACCCGCCACCGCCTCTTCCGTGACCGAGGTGGCTCTTACGACAGAAACCCAGGGCGACACTGGGGCTGTGCCAGCAGATCATGTACTGGACGCAACTACAAAAGGTCCCGTCAAGCGGTCCCGAAAACGAGCCACAGAAGCGGCCGAGACTGCTGCAGGAGCCGAAAACGGTACCGCGGCCCCGAAACCCAAGCGACCGCGGAAACAGAAGGAAGTCACCACGGATGGCGAGGCGGCTCAGACACGGCCACCTCGGCCGAGGAAGAGGAGGACGACGGAGGACGGCACGACGACGGAGACGGATACGATATCAAAGACGTCGTCGAGACCCCGCCGAGCCCGCTCGGTAACACCGGAGGACGCCGAGAACCAGGAGGCTGACCTCAGCACCCTCACTATGGGGGACTTGACGAGGGACCTCCGTATTGGCAAGAAGTTCAGCCGGCATGAGGAGCTCCTGCAGCGCCATCGCGAGAAGCAGGCGAGGGCCCGGGAGAGGCTCAAGGCCAAGAGGAACGGCTCGGAAGATGTTGCTTCGGAGAGCGGGACACCTGCGCCAACGTCGAGCGGGCAGGCGACGCCCGCGGCCGCCCTCCCGCCGAAGCCGACCAGCATGGTCTCGACAGGACCCCAATTCCAGATCATCGACGGCCAGATCGTGGTGGACCAAAACTCACTGAGCCTCGACCGTCACGCCATCGCCGCTGCGGCCGCCGAGGGCGAGGACATGCTCGAGATCGAAGAGAACGACTTCACGACCCTCACGACGCAGAACAGCTACAGGACGGGCTCGAAGCTTAAGGGGCCCAACGTGTGGACCGAGGAGGAGACGGAGCTCTTCTACCGCGGGCTCCGTATGTTTGGCACCGACTTTCAGATGATCAGCGGCATGTTCCCCGGCAAGAACCGGCGGCACGTCAAGATGAAGTTCAACCGCGAGGAGCGCCACGCGCCCGCGCGCATCGACGCCATCCTCGTCGGCAAGAAGGAGCTCCAGATCGACCTCGAGGAGTACAAGACGTGGACCAAGGCCGAGTACGAACCCGTCGAGGCCATCATGGCGGCGCAGCGCGCGCAGCAGGCCAAGTTCGACGCCGAGCAGGCAAAGGTCAAGGCGGCCAAGGACGCCATCAACGCCAGGAACTTTGCCTCCCTGCAGGACAGGGGCGAGGGCGGGCCTGCAAATGAGTCCTCCGCGGCAGCGGGCAGTGGTGGTGGTGCGGCCGGCGGCGGCAGCGGCAAGTCCAGGCCGAAGCAGCAGGCCAACGTGGGCCCTCAAATAACGGTCGACGCCGACGGCATGATCACCATCGACGAGACCGACATGGACCTGGACGCCGGGCGGGGCAAGAAGAGGGGCGCGGGCAGAGCCAAGAAGAAGGCCGTCGAGTACAACATGCGCGGCGAGATTATCCACCGATGAAGGCGCTGGAACGAACGGGGGCTACGCGGGCAAGGGAGTGGGAAACCGGAGCGGCTACCAGAGACAGATACCCTTTGCTTTTTCACGAGGAAAAGATACAACACAACACGGTCTTGGTGGGGGCACCTACATTTGCATCAGGCGGCGTCGGTATTACGGTTTCTTTCTTTGGGTTATGTAGTTTGCAGCGAGGGTTCAGGAATCGAATCGGAACACACACGGGCAGGACGCCCTGCGCACAGCCGCGGGAACACTCGCAATAGCTTTTATTGGAGATCTTTAGGACCCTCTTTTCCAGCCAACGTGCTTTAACTATACATGTTTGCCGTCCCAACGCCAACGCCCCCCTCCTCCTCCTCCAATTATGATAATCTCTGCCATTATTGCCCATAGCCAACGCTTGTGCGCCCTTCTTCCTCGTGCCACCGCGCCAGGCGAAAAGAGCACAATGAAAAAGAAAGACTTTCCAAGAAAGATAAATCAAAAATTAGACCTCGTACGGTTCCTCTGAGGCCCCATACGGCGAGGGGTATGGCCGCGGTGTGCAACGCAGATCTCCCTCCTCCACGGCCCGGGGCTCTTGATCTCCGGGCCGTTAAGCTGGTAAGTATAGAGAAAAGAAAGGCACCGTCACAAGAACAAAGACACGCGCCTAGTCATGTACTGCTTTGAAGTGAGGCCAAATCATAGGCAGCAGCGTCACTGAGGCCAAGTATCCAGGCAACACTGTGACGAGAAATGGCATTGGAAAGTTGAATTAGTTGGTACTACCTGGTCTGGCTACCTAGGTTTAACGCCGCGCTCTCTTTCAAGCCGGAACGGGAGCACTCCTGGCCACAGACAAGCATGTACGTTGCAACTGCGCGCGACATGCGACCTCCGTATGTGTGCAAGTCAACCCCCGCATGTCGTCCTCAGCCGACCTGCCTCCGCGCCGGCTCTTGGGAAAAGAATCTAACTCCACGAATAATGAGGACGGCGGCCCCGTGCCCATGCTGACATGGATCCTGTCGTCGCGACTAGGTATCCTAAAGTCTCCCTCGAGTCGTTGTTACCCAGTCAACACCGTCCGGCAATCCCTGAGTCTTGCGTGTCTGTCATAGAATGTGTAATCATGCGGTCGTAGCGGATCGGCTTAGTTCTGGGGCCCTTCATCGTCGTCGGGCTGGTCGAACAGGAAGTTCGCCGCGAGCTCCTCGTTCTTGTCGCAGGCGAAGTAAGCCTGGATGGCGGCGTCGCGGTCGAAGCCGAGGCGGCATAACTGAGCGATTGTTAGTACCCTCGCATCAGAGACCAGGCTGCAGAATAACCTACCCGTTCGATGGCGTCACGCTCCTCCTCGGTGACCTGGATGGCTTGCGCACCGGGGGGCAGAGGAACGTCGTCGTCGACCTCCTCACCGAGGAGCTGCAGGAACTGATCGGGGTTGTTGGCGATGAGCTGGGCAAGCTGGGGGTTGCCGGCGCCGAGCTGCTGCAGGATGGGTTCCAGCATCTGGGGCTGTTGCTGGACGACCTGGCGCAGTTGCTGGAACTGGGCGTTATTTCTGAGGAAGTCCAGATTGCCGAAACCACCCTGGGCGGCAGCCGCGGCGGCAGCGGCAGCGGCAGCCTGGGTGTTGCCACCGGCGGAGGCTCCACGTCCACCGCCACCGCCACCGCGAGCCTGGGCGGCTAGGTCGAAAAGGTTGACGTTTCCATCGTCGTCGCCGCCGGCAGCACCGGTGGCGGGCTGGGCGGGCTGGGCAGCAGCGGCAGCCTGTCGCTGCTGCTGCTCCTCTTGAACGCTATCGGGGATGCCCTGCAAGAATGTCAGTTGCGGACGTCGGCTACGGGGCTGTGACAGCTTACGTTCAGCAGGTACTCGACGGCTCTGTCGGGGTTGTAGAAGGCGGCACGCATGGCGGCGTCGATCTGAGCACGTTCGAAACCCATGGCCTCCATGTTCGCAATCACCTCCTGGCGCTGGGCGCCCATGGCCATCGACGGGTCCGTGGGTCCAGCATCGCCGCCGCCTGTGGTCCTGGCAGCGGGGGTGGGCGTGGCGGGAGCGGCGGCGGCGGGCGCGGCAGCGTGGGCAGCGGGAGCGGGAGGTGCGGCCGGAGTCGCGGCAACGGGCTGAGCGGGAGTCGCCGGGACAGCGGGCGCCGAGGATTCAGCGGCAGGCGTGGGCTTGGGTACCTTGGGCTATTGGGCCATCAGTAATCAAGCAAGCGTGATGGGACCACCGTTGTACGAACCTTGTTGACCATGCAGACGACGAATCCCTTCTCTTCAATCTTGTAGGACTCAACAGTGTCGTCGTCCTTCAAGATCTTGCCTAGTAGCTGTCAGCTTGAGCCATCACGTCCCCTTTCCCCCCCCCCGGATCCAGGGACCTACCAGAGTAGATAAGCTTCTGGTCCTTGGGATCCCATCCCTTCTCTCCGGCAATCTTCTGCTTGACAGCAGAGACCTGTTCATCCCGTTAGCTTCGTGGCCGGGTCATCGCGAGGCAGCTGTGGAAGAGCTCATAGGCGGGGATGTGGGGTCGGAACACACAAGGTCGGTGGGCTCAACATCGAGCGTGAATTTTTGTTGCTTCAAGTCCTAGACAAAGAAAAGAAAAGAAAAAACGTCAGCAAGAGCTCATGTTAGAAGAGGTGAGGCGCATTGCATCAGGGCCATCGCCCTTGGGTGGGAGGAAGCTGGGCTGGGCTGTGCATACCTTGAAGGTGACCTTCATCTTGGCTAGCTTTCGGGCAGCGGAGGGCTGCAATCACAAGGGGAGAAGGGTAAGGTGATCGGTGAGGTCGGACGAAAGGATGCGGGATGGCTGTGATGGTAAGCGCTGAAAGAAGATGCGCAGTGAGCTGTGGGTGCAAGATGAGAAACCCGTCACCCGGTTGGTTTTGTTGTGCGCAGGAAAGACTGGTACAGAATTAATGGAGATGACGAAGGTAAGTGGTGACCTAGAAGTCGGTGTTTGGTTGCTGCGCAGTGGGGGAAGGCGGCGGCGGGCGGCTCCAGTTGGTTGGCTGAGGTACCTCCTTCCATTTTCTTTCTGAGTTGGTGCTGGTTCACTGTCTTTCCGCCCATTTCCCCACTAAAAACCAGGCCGGAAAGAGCACAGATAACTAGCTAGCGCATCGGTCGGGTGGCGCTTTCCTAGCCAAACTTTCTTTTCCTCCAGGAAAGTGGCGGTGCAAGAGGGCCTTCCTGGTGGCTCAGACTACTAGGAGCACGGAGATGGGTGGACAACAGTACCAGAATCACAAGACGACGGTCGATAAGATCATGAGGTAGGCAACTCAGGGCGCTTTCCCATGGTTTATCATCATCCCGTTCGTCCTCGCAGCCGCGTGTAGAGCATCATCACGCAGAAATTTCGGCTGCCACTTCGGCTGCCACAGAAAGCGGGGTGTCGTACCTGTCAGCGTTATACAAACGCCTTAGGGCAGTACGAACGCATCCAGCCCCAGGCTTCCGCGACAACGTGTCCAGCTTGCATGATAGCACAAGCCACTCTCTGACCAGCTCAGCTTTCCAGTAAGATAGCACTGGTCTTGCTGGACAGTTGCAGGAACGCCTGGCCCGCAGCTGGAACCGGACCTGTCGCTGAGGTAAGAATGTGCCCGTGCTTGAGCCCGAGCCCGAGCCGACCGGGTTGCCAAGAGATCCGCAGCGGTGTCGCGGAGCAGGATCATCCATAGTCCGAGATCCCCACCGGTCGGTCCGGCGCGACACATGGGACCTACTATCGTCTATCCCCTCAGATCAGAAGACAACTCAACCCAGACAGTCGGGTACTGGTTGCTACTCCAGACCCGCTTGCACCGCACACGCATTGCTCACTCGACAGATTCATGTGACTCGTTAAATATATTGTAGCTGCTGTAGCTTTTCTTGTTTTCCGCCGGCGTCTCGGCCGGCAGCCGCGGGATCTTTCCCCCCCTCCCCCCTCTCTCTCTGTGCCTCCTAGGACAACGCCGCGCTGTACAAAGAAAACAAATCCGTCAAATATGGTATCACCGCCTGAGCATATACTTCCCGTTGTCTAAGGACAAAATAGCAATTAGACATTCATGAGGACCGCGCCGGGTCAATTTTTCCCCTTATCCCCTTTTTGGTTTCCAAGGCACGGGCATGCCCTTGGTTACTGCCGGCATGCCGTTTTTCCGTCATCATCATGACTGCTCCTGCTCAACGTCTCCGTCAACCCGGAGCTTCCGGCTTTGGTATCCGGACAGGCTCGTCCGGGACCCGGCGGTCAGAATCCACTCGGGAATGGGAGGCGTCATCTGTCTTTCGCCGAGAGCCTCATCTTCCTCTTGGGGCGACGGAAGCTCGCCCTCCTCCTTGATGGACGGCGGGTTGCTGGGGAAGAAGTTCTCAAAGCTGCTTGCGCAGCTGAGAGGGCTAGGGCCCGAAGGCAGGCTGCCGCTTCTCATGCGCCGAACGCTGTTCCGGTCTGGAATAACACGGCCTGCGTCGGGAGCCGCGGTGACGACGGTGCCAGGCGTCACCATGGGCGGCGGGTCCGGGGAGTCGGACCGGAATAAGGGGTGAATGTGCGATTCGCTCGCGGAGCCCTGCATGGTGAATGCGGGCTCGGGGCGCCGGAGGGAGCACTCGCTGGCAGGAGCCTGCAGCGTAAAGGTGTGCTCAGGATTCCGGAGACTGCCCATGGGAGCGGGGCTGTAACTGCGGCTGCGGCAGCGAGGGCGAGGGCGCGGGGTCTCCAGGTCCATGTCCAGTGGCGTGCCGGGACTGGGACTGCGGCTGGTGGTGGGGCTGGCTGGGATGGTCTCGAGGAACCTTCCAGGGACTGGAGACGACGTGCCGAGGACTGTCAAGCGGCTTTGCATGTCGACGGAGGAGGTGTCCCATGAGTCGAACGAAGGGTCGTCGTTGACGCTGCTAGACCGCGACCGGTAGTGGTTCGAGTCAATCGACGACGCCCGCTTCTTGTCCCTCAGCGGCAGCAGACGGGTTCTCGAGGAGATGGGCCGGACGACGTTGGACAGCGAGGAGCGGATAGAGTACAGCGTCTCGGTCGCAGAACGGCCGCTGCTGGACTGGGGCGGGGTCTGCGAGCCCATGGAGACGGATCGGCTCCTGCTCTCGAACGTCGGGCAAGTACGGTGGTAGGGGACCGACTTGATGTGGACGTTGGAAGTCTTGCGGGACTCCTCATCCGAGTGGAGCGAGCCCGCCCCTTGGCGGGCGAAAAGGCGAGCCAGGACGAAGTGAATGACAATGAAAATGAGCTGGCACGCAAAGCAGAGGCCGAGAGCGACGGACGAAGCGATGAGGAAGCTTGTCTGCTTCGCACCCAGAACGGAGTCTGGCAGGGCCTTCGCGGCATTGCCGAGGCAGATCATGGTGGCCACCGAGGCGGCGGTGGCCAAGACGCACGTGAGCATGCTGGCGGCGAACATGATGCTGATAAGGCGCTTTGAACAGCTTCGGGACCTGGGAGTTAGGTTCGCAGACATCATCCATCCCATGATGGCCAGAAGGATGCTTTCCAATATCGACGACAGAATCGACGAAGTCCGGACTGGAGGGTTTACGGTAATGTGGGCAGCGAGCACGACGTGGATGACGACGATGGTGATGGTGGCGATCAGCGCCACGGCGCCGGCCGCAACGGGAAGAGCTCGGGGCAGAGTCATTGTGAAGCAGCTGTCAAAGCCTAGGAACCGAGAGTGAACGAAGTGAAGGCGGGGGCCGGGTCTGCTTCGTTGCAAACGCAGCTATATCGCACGAAAACAGGCAGAGGGCGCGTTGTTTGTTGGTCTGCCAGAGACCGGTGGGTCGGCGGCCTGGTTGCTTCCCAACGACGGACGGACCTAGACGCTGCGAAGCCCGTTCGAGCCGTGATCGTTGACTAGATGACAGACCGACCGGCGAGTTGATCGGCTACTCGAGTCGACGAGGGCTGGGCCCCGGGCGGGCGAGGCGGCCACGAAACGAAGGCGGGTGAAAGCGGAGAGTCTTCCCAGCAAGGCGTCTACGGGAAAAGCGGGTGTATTTAGGACGCGGTTGGCCAGCCGTGTACATGAGCACTGTGAAGGTTCGATCTGTAAGAGAGCTCCGTGTAGAAACTCTCTCGACAGGGGCGAGTAAGGTTGGGGGCTATTGTTGGAAAGCGACGAACGGGATGTCGAGCAAACGAGCAGCGAGGCTTTGAACTGCAACGGACGGGCCGGGGTGCTTGAGGTCAAGGCAGCGAGAATAGGCCGTGTTGTCGAGCCGGACTGCTGACAGCGAAATATGGAAGGCGATATGTTGAACGAGAGAATAACAGTTGGTGAGAACGAACGGAAAGGGGGTTTTGGAGGAAAAGAGGTGTATGTGTAGGGTGAGAGGGGGACGAAGAACGAAACCTGGGAACCAAACGCATAAAGTATGGCAGGCGGTCGTGGACGTGTTTTTGTGCGTGCGGGTGCCCGGCGTGGCCTGGGCTGGGGGATTGATGGTATTCCCTGTCGGGGTGGAGGGGAGGAGCTGGCTGGCACTAGAGGCGCTGCGTCGCGTGGGCAAACGGCAGACCGAGCGAGTTTATTCGTACCTTACGCACACGCCTCGGCCGGCCGGTGGGCTCTCTCTTCCATTTTTATTTTTTATTTTTTACTCGCTCCTCCCCCCCTACCCCCTTCCTCCCGGGTCCTAACTCAAATGGCCCAGGGGTCAGTGAGAGGCGAGGGAGTGGAGGACGGCGACGGCAAGGATATTGGGATGCTGTGACGGGGCGTTCGGAACGAAACACTGGCAGCTACCCTTGTCCGTGTGCCGGGGGGCGTGTGTTTTTGGGACGCCGGACAGAGAGCCCGGACCTACTTACATACAGTACATAGTATCCGTAGTATGAGTGGCCTGGGATCTTGGCCAGGACTGGGGCTTGGTGACGAGATGATCCCTGATGGGCTGCTGACGCTCTGCCGTGTGGCCCTGGGCATGTATTCAGAATACCTGACTGCAGAGTCAAGCCGCGTGTTTACAAGCGTAGTGCACGAGAAGAAGCAGGGCTATTTCGTCCCATCCGATGATGCAGCTGTCGCAGTTGCTGCCGCTGTACGTGGTGCTCCCACCCGTTGTGCACAGAGCCAGTCAAGGTGCTTGCTGGTCAACGACCGGACGAAGCGAGGCCCATGTATTGTAGACTACCTATACTCTCTGACCTCGTCGCTTCTTGTGTGCATGTGGGACCCGGCAGAGGGAGCACATGCGAATAATGTCGTGGCCAACTTCCCAATTGACCCACGCCGCTTCGAGCGCGCCTCGATGCCGTGTAGAGACCCGTCACCATACGCTTCGTGCGACAACGGCATGGTCTATCTTTGGTGGTGGCATAAATGGCGACGGGATGGCAAGAGCTGACAGCAGGGCTGCAGGGGATGATTGGCCGCTCCGCCAGGGCTAGATGAGGACGAAGCCACAAGCGCAATGTGAGACATGGGAAAAACGAAAGCACAAGACACGATGGGCGTCTCTGGGGGTGGAAAGGGAGGGGGATCGCCCATCATCCTGTCAGGAGGCGGCTCTGGGAGAAGAAACGAAGGCTTTCGCCTGCCACAATGGGATTGGATAGATACCTAATATTATCTGTAAAAAGAAACGGGCATGTGTGGCTGACTCGCTGGCTGACGACATATGTTGTGCCAGGCACACCTCCGTACGGCTTTTCGACAGACCTCGTCTCCGATATAGGTCGCAGTCGCTGTTAAGCCCGGAGCTTGTCCCTTGCGTGGCTTGCGTGGTTATTCCCTGATATATTGCTGTTGCATCCATTGTTTACTTTCTGCCCACCCGAGCACAAGGCCCATGGGAACCGATAGCTTGGAACGCAGCAAGCTCTGGGCCATTTAAGCTCTGTTTACATCGTGTCGCTTTTGGCATGGCCGCAACGACGTACCGATGAAGAGGCACTATTGTGCTCTCGATAGGCCTCGCCGCAGGGTAAGGCTAGACTCTAGAGCTGCAGTCGCCATTTCATGTGAGGGGAGGTGCAGACACACAATCTCCGAGCCTCGCAGGTTGCCAATGGCGAGCTGTGTCCCTTGCATCCGCGAATCAGACGGCCCCATCTATCAATAATCATCCGCCAGCGTGCCTCAACACTGTTCGCCCGCAGCAGAGGCACTGCGATCGTCGAGGCTAGCAATGAGATGCATGGCGTCTGATGTGCTCTTTCTTTTTGTTGAGACAGGGCATGGGTTCTTGTCGGCTGGTCGCGAGCCGAAGGGGGGGGGGGGGGGGGGGGGGGGGGGTTCGCTCAGGTTGCGGTCGCCACGCGCAACCCACGACGACTTCAAGACAGGTGAGGGAGCGACGCTGACTGCTGAATCGTCGGGTCAAAAAACAGCAGGACAAGTGGTTTTGGTTGGACAATCTTGAACCATCCATCCGACCGTTGGCATGGCAATTGGCCAATGCAAGAGGACAAAAGCCAGTGCGCTCTTTTTTTGAGAGGGGTGTTCCTTACTGCCTTGGTGTGCCATTCTCCGCGAAGCAACTTCCGGGGTGGTCTAGTGGGGGAGCTGACGGGGCACACGTACCTGAGGGGCTCAGGAAGAGACAAGGCAGAAGGCAGAGGGGGGGGGAGGGGGGGGGGATGACGGAATGGCTCTGCGCAAGGGTGGTCCAAGCCCGTACATATCAATTAGAGGGGAAGATTTGCATAACAACAGGGCGCGCCCCTTTTGTGCCTCCCCTGGAGCACGCACGCTGTGGACTTCAAGCTTATGCAGAGGGAACCGTATGGTCATATAAACATTGGATAAGGTACAGATAAAAGTACAGCCGTTCCGTGGTGCCTCACGCGCACGACGGCGCCGGCGGTGCTGCCGATGGTATCGCCGACGTTTTATTACCCATACTTTTTTTTAGTTTGGTTCGCAGCGACATGAAGGCGTATGCGAATTCCCGACTGGGCCGAAGTGGCTCCGCCTCCAACGACTCGGTTTGACTGTGATTTCTGGGAGGGGAGGCATGTCGTAAGGTGTAACGGCCTAACCTTTTACTGGGAGGGGGAGTGGAAGAGAAGGGGGGGGGGGGAGAAGAACTCGCGAAAAGGAAAGCCGGCAGAGACAGGGAGCCCGATCTATCGATAAAAATTTTCATGGGTGTCGAAGTGTAAATCGAGGTACATGGAGATGGGCGCAGTTCAAAGGGATCAGAAGCCGGTATCTTGGTCCAGATGTGCATTCGTTGTGTCTTGCAGAGTACCTACCTATTTCCCGATGGGCCCAATCGACTGGTTTGCCACGAGCCGTAAGTGTCTCGTGTGCAAGCATTACTATTCTCGATCGCCGTCAACAACGCCTGGCGGATTTGGCTTCCCCCTTCGCAAAGGGGCGTGGCGGCTTGCCGTAACAGAGGCCCCCCCCCCCCCCCCCCCCCCATCCATACGAAGGAGCAAGGGAGCTCTGATGAAAGGACGACGACAAAATGGTTCGAGACAGTGGCAGATGTGACATTGCCATGCTAGGGGTAACGTATCCCGCCGCGTACCTGGTTCTCACCTGAGTAGTAGTAGTGTACATAGTAGTAGGTACGCACTATGCAATTAGTGCACTATGTTCAGAATATCGCGAATGAAAAACCCTCCTCGCCGGGAAAGGCCTCCCCCATCCAGCCCAAGCACCTTTCACGTTCTTGCCCCTCCCGCACCCCTGCCAGCGTACCCACCTGCTGTGGACCCCAGCACCCCCTTCCCGCCGTAACGGTGTTACCATCCTGCTGCCCTGATTCGATGACTTTTCTCATTTCCCTCTCCGCCGCTGCAAATCTCGCGCGCCAGTGATCAGCAACGCCAACAAGGCCCAGAACTATAGACTTTTCCACCATGGCTTCTTTAACCCAGACTCGTCTCCGTCTCTCTCCACAACACAACCACTTTTCCACGACACAGCCCCGGCTGAGAATGGACCTCACCTTTTTCCCTCTTCCAGCCGGGCTGCAGTCGGCCTGCGACTTCCGTCAAGCGAACGACAGGGCTAATACCCGGGCAGGGCAGGGCAACAGACAGGCCGGCAGCATTGACAAGGCACGGCATACCAAGGCTGCCTGCCACCAGAGCACCACAATCCGACGCGCTCGACGGGGCTTGCGGGAATTAGGTCCATGGCCAGGAGCCTGGAACTCCTGGGCCTTGGAAGAAGTGGTGCTGATGACGAAAGATTGATCTGAGATTCATCCGGCTTTGACTTGACTTTCCCTTCCGACTGGAAGCGAGCGAGCTACTCGATAACCTCCTTGTCGCCCGCCCTCTCTCGTTGATCGAGTCGTCTATTCTTATGGTGTCAGAGGTCCAACTAGCCAGCCAGCTACTCTGTTGGGCGCACGCCGTCGCTCTTTTTTTGGGGGAGGCTTGCGGCACATTTCCACATTTTCCGTCCCTGCTTTCTTTTTCTCCGACATTTTCCAACCAGTGACGCCTGCTCATGCCTCCCCGCTGCTCATCCTCTCTCAAAGCGATGGGCGGGTTCGATTAAAGATGAGACAAGCCCTGCGATTGGCATGCTGGTGGCTCGTCATTGGGCTGACTGGCATGCAGGAGTCCCTCGTTTACACGGCGCACACCTTGTACAGACGGAGGCACTCGTTGCGAAAGAGGATCGGGACACAATTAGGTAGATTGATGACATAAGCTGAAGTGCCTTGCTTCTGCCATTTTCACAAGCACCAGAGTCGGACGGGCTCACCAGTAACGACTACGGATAGTGTACCGGTACACTACCTACACATCATACCTGCAGTACAATACGCCTCGATCCTCCCGGCAGTACGTACCGCGCCTATCTAGGCACCTACATAGTCAAAGACCCATGTACCCGTAAAATTCGATGCGATGTGAGCTAAGGAACCGCTCGCCTTCCGTGGCCCCATGGTTGGAACAAATCCGTCGCATGTCATTCGTCGCATCCCCATCGGACGAAGAATGCCTACCCAGACATGTGCCTGTTCCTGCGTTTAGGGCTTGCTGATGCATCTCGCTGTGGGGGTCGACCCGCGGCCATCTAGGTAGGTAGGTATGCGGTACATGTACGTACCGTACTGCATACAACACAGGCTGCCTTGGCATCGGGAGTAGGTACCTTTCTTGCGACTTTTTCTGCCCGTCAAAAATCTTCACTAGGCGGTTTCGGAAGGAGGGATGTACCGGTAGAGTCATCAACGTGCGGGGTCCGACCCGGAACTGATTCTTTTCCGCAGCAGTCAGCGGCGAGAAAAGCAACTCAGCCAGAACTATTGCTCCTCACTACCGAGCTGGGCCCTTGCCGTCGCTTCCCATTCGCAGCCCGCTCCTAGGATGCTGCCTGGAACGGCCGCTGTCAGAAGAGGGCGGTTTGTTTGGAACGCTGCTGCCATCACGGCCAAAGAAGCGGATGGTTTGCTCCAAGTAATGACAAGTCGGCCCTGTTCTGGGATTCCTAGGAAACACCCCGCCACGACTGCCACATCTACGAGCAGAAAGGCTTCGGTGCAAATGGCATCAAGGCAGACGCTTGCCGCCTGCGAACCGCTGCTTCCCAGGTCCACCCGGTGTTTGACAGAGTTTGAACGGAAACAAAACTCCCACCTCTATCGTCAATCAACGGTTGCCATTGCGACGCTCCTTGGTGTTGCCATATTTGGAAAACACGCACGGCACGCCCAGCAGTTTCGTTTCTTAGCCGGCGCCGCCGAAAGGCCAAAGTATACTTAGTAATTGGCCGCTTGCGCTCAGAGCGAGCGAGCGTTGCAATCCCACACTGTCTGCCAAGCCATCACTGTCGCTATCTGAGGTACGTATCCAAGGCGGTCTCCCTCAAGGTTGCATAGGCACACAATGATACTCTGGCAATTACTGTTTCTATCGTCTTTTTTTACTTAATTTTTTTTGTTTTAGGGATATCTGAAACAGCACGTTGGCGGGCTGCACCGCGCCGCGCCTGACATGCGGAAGCCAACCACTATCGTCGGGCATCCCATTCTCATCTCCACGACTTGTCTTTGTCTCCCTCGTCACTTCAGCCCATTAGAGTCCCCAGGCACATAGGCGAAGTCGTCCCAGCGGCGCCACGCGGGGAACTGCAATGATGACGTCTGATACGTAGCTACTACTATAGGAACAGCGAGGTTATGTCTCTGATTCCCGCCCCGTAGCGATAGGTGTCTGCCTAAATTTACACGCCGTGGCCAGTGAACACAGATGACTGACACGTCGTCTCGCCCTCGTCCACGGCAACATGGAGAATCATCGGGTGGCTTCCATGAAAGCCTCGGAGAGGTGGCAGCCAGCGCACGTGAGTCGGCGCCGGGACGTTGTCCAAGTCAGTGCCGTTGCGGCACGACGCCGGCTCATCGACAGCGACGGCAATCCTGAGTAAGCAACATCCACACGCGGCTGTATCTTGTCTCGCGCACACGCGCCTAGGTCTCCATGCTCGGTATTTGGCTGATTCACGACTGTCCGGGTTCCTCTTGCTCAAAGAGTTATCCTCCGACTCCCGCGCGGATTTACGTCGGTGGCTGGGAATCCGGGGCGAGGCAAGTCGCGGACAGGCCCAATATGGCGAAATGACAACAGTCAACGTTCAAACTTGAAGAGAAGGCGCTCTGCTAAGATGTCAGCATCGTTCGAAAAGGGGGGCCGAAATGTTCTGTCGTCCTTCCAATCTCGGCTACCCCAGTCAGTGCAGCGGCACGACCACCCCCTGCTCTACGAGAAGGAAAGTGTCTCTCATCAAAGCCCTCCGGGTTGAAGCACACAGCCGCGCTCCACTGCCGTGGAACCGGGGATGAAAGTTCATCTCATGTGGGGAAGGCGACGCTGACGGCCCAGCAAGGGTATATCTCTGTTGATATAATCCAGGGGCAGAAGGAGGCACGAGCACTGGTGTTCGCAGCACGTCGGGTCCAACGCTCTGACCGTGATGTCGACCGAAGCGTCCTTCGTAAGCAGGTCGAAGACTGGCCCAGCATCGCGAGATCAAACAGTGTTGTACCAGACGATTCTCTTGCGACCCAACCCAAGTCTCGTAGGCCTCCTTTCGCAATTAGACCCGAGTCGGCACCGCCATTCTCCTGGACCGGCCGGGTGTCTATGCAGTCTAAGCGTTGGGCGCAATGAGTGGAGGATCACGGGGCATTCGATGGCCGGCAGTCACTTGCCCGAGCTCCTCCGTGTTGGAGCCGGCAGAGCACGGGAGCCGATGTGTGCCATGTCCTCGACTCCTGCAAGCGTCACCACGATCTGCTGCAGACGTATATTCGTTGGATCGCGCAGCGCCTTGCGTCAACTTCGTTGCTGGCATATTTGCCCGGTATCATTGGCCAGCGTTGTTTCAAAAGCGGCAAATCTCTCGTCGCGATGCTCGAAAAGTCTTGCGGTTTGGATCCGGCGAGATCATCGTCGCTGCCCCTTGTGATGTGTGCCATATCTCTGTCCGTGGATACCTTCTAGTCAAAATAAAGCAGCCGACGCCTTGTCGGGCTGTGGGCGAGGTGCTCAAATGGAGAGAATAGCAGTCGAAAAAATCGCTGTCGAAAGCCCCATGGACGTCGCGGCTGCAATATTGTCGTTGACGATGAAGGCATGAGTTGGCACGTTGCCGTCATCAAATGCGGGTGAGAGGCGTGGAGGCTGGCTTGCCCGGGTAGCTATCCGTATTTATTGAGGGAAATTCGTTGGGCAAAATTTGGCTGGCCCGCGCCCGGAAGCAACAGCCAACGGGCAGCGGCACATTGCGCCAGAAGATCATCTCTCCTTGTATTCCAGCGTTCCGACAGGCACGCTTGCGCTGCATCTGAGGAAAAGCCTGGTTCGCCCCTCTGATCTCCAGATGATCATGGGCCTCGACCCCGCATCTCAGCGGTCACGACGTCCTCTCGGCCAACATAACGCCGAGTGGTCGCCCGTTTTTGTGAACCACACGGGCAACGGGCCTTCGGCTGCCTTTTACCGGTTCTTGTGTTTATCCAACAGCGCAAGGCCCTGTGAAAGAATTACACGGCGAAGTAGCTCAAAGGAACTACAGCACTGTTCTGGCGACTGGGATACCCCACTATCCGGCAAAGTCGAACAACCCTGGGCCAGCTGATTGCTGGAATGGCGGGTAGTCTGCGCTTGCGTGGGAGCCTTCATTATGTTGCACTCGGCTTGCATTTTCGCGGCTGGGTAGCGGGAGGCCTTTGGCTTGAGAGTCATCATGAAGCTCCTTATGAATCGGCTTGTTCCCAGCGTTCCGTGCAGCGGCGCTGATCTGGAGTGCAACGCCACCTTCGCGATCTGTGTACCCTCGACCTGAGTCCCGCCAAAGCTGTGGTTCGCATCCACCGCCCCAATGCGTCTGTTCCGGGCTTTGACGGCCCTTATCTGGCTGTTCGTGTCGAAGTCTCTGGCGACCAGCAATGGCCTCACTGATGCGGTGACGTGGGACAAGTACAGTGTCATGATCAACGACACCCGAACTTACATCCTGTGAGTCGTTCCGTGAGCTAAAGCAGCAACCCGAGACTGACAACGTTCAGGTCGGCCGAGTTCCACTATCAACGGACGCCCGTACCTGAACTGTGGCTCGTAGGTTGCTCTTTGCCCCTTTGCTCTCTCATCCGCTGACCTCCACGGCAGGACATCCTCCAAAAGTTCAAGGCCAACGGCTTCAACGCCGTGAGGTAGGTGGTGCCGCTGCCGCGCTGGTGTGCTTCGCTCATCGCATCTTGCCTCCAGCATCTACTTCTTCTGGTCTTATCACTCCGCCTCCGAGGGCGTGTACGATTTTGAGACGGGAGGGAAGAACGTCCAGCGGCTGTTCGACTACTGCAAAGAAGCTGGGCTCTATGTCATCGCAAGAGCGGGACCATACTGTAACGTGCGTCACGAGCCCCATAACCCGAGGCCCAAACAAAATGCTGACGCTCGCAGGCCGAGACCAACGGTGGCGGGCTGGCCCTGTGGGGATCTGATGGCCGCTTCGGCAAGCTGAGGTCCTCGGACGAACGGTACCACGCCGGATGGCTTCCCTTCATCGCACGGATCGGCAAGATCATCGCTGCGAACCAGATCACCAACGGTGGCGTGTGTCCTGCCCCTCCCGTCTCCTGGGTTGCTCTCCGCTGATAACGGCTGCAGCCCGTGATCCTTAGCCAGGTCGAAAACGAGTACCAGGAGACGGTCTACCAGGCGAACCACACCTCGGTTGTCTACATGGAGCAGCTCGAGAAGGCCTTCCGTGACGCCGGCATCGTCGTCCCTCTTACCCATAACGAAAAGGGCATGCGCTCAATCTCGTGGTCGACAGACTACAACAACGTCGGCGGCGCCGTCGACATATACGGTCTCGACAGCTACCCGGGCGGCCTCTCCTGCACAGATCCCACGGTTGGGTTCAACGTGAATCGGGGGTACTACCAGTGGCTACGGAATGCCGCAATCACGCAGCCGGGATACCTGGCCGAGTTCGAGGGTGGATGGTTTTCGAACTGGGGCAGCCCTACGTTCTACGACGAGGTACGTTGGGCACCACCGCCATGGCCCGCAGTTTTTGCTGACCGGGCAGTGTGCTTCCGAGCATGACCCCGCTTTCGCGGACGTCTACTACAAGAACAACATTGGCCAGCGAGTTACCCTGCTCAGCATCTATATGGCTTACGGGGGAACGAACTGGGGTCACTGTGAGCACGACGTTCCTCGCTTTTCAGCCATGCCACTGACCCGAGGTAGCCGCCGCTCCTCAAGTTTATACAAGCTATGACTACAGCGCCCCTCTCCGAGAGACCCGCGAGCAATGGACCAAGCTCTTCCAGACGAAACTCATCGGCCTGTTTACTAGAGTCTCGCTCGATCTGCTCAAGGCCGACATGGTTGGAAACGGATCCGGCTATAGCGTAAGTGGTCAGCCATCCCCTTCATACCACGGCTAACAATCGCAGCTCTCCTCGACTTCGGCCTTCAGCTGGGTCCTCCGCAACCCTGACACCCAGGCCGGCTTCACAATTGTGCAGCAGAACAGCACCAACTCCATGAGCCCCATACATTTTGACGTCAAGTTGGCCACAACCGCCGGCTCCGTCACCGTCCCGAACGTTATGCTCAACGGACGACAGAGCAAGATCCTCGTCACAGACTACGTATTTGGCAAGCACACCCTGCTTTACGCCTCTGCCGAAATCGCCACGTACGGCATCTTCGAGACAGAAGTGCTTGTCTTCTACCTGGGAGAGGGCCAGACGGGCGAGTTCGCCTTCAAGGACGAGAGGGACCTTGCTTTCGAGGTCTTTGGCGACGCCGTGCTCGAGGAGGCAACGAACGGCGGCCACGCGGCTTTCACATGGAAGCAGGCCGCCGGTTCGACGGTAATCAAGTTCTCCAACGGCGTCCTGGTGTATCTCCTCGAGCAGAAGACGGCATGGCGTTTCTGGGCCCCACCTACAACGTCCAACCCGACCGTCAAGCCCAGCCAGCAACTTTTCATCCTCGGCCCGTACCTCGTCAGGAGCGCCAGCATCTCTCACGGCGTCCTTCACGTCTCGGGCGACAGCGACACGTCGACCACCCTGGAGGCTTACGTCGGCGACAAGCCCATCGAGACCATCGATTGGAACGGCAAGCGCTTGGCCGCCACCAAGACCCCCTACGGCTCCTTTACCGTGCGGATCCCCGGCGCCGAGGACCGTACCGTGGCCCTCCCCGAGCTGAAGAACTGGCGCGCCGCCGAAGCCCTACCCGAAGCGGCGCCCGACTACGACGACACCCGCTGGGTAGTCTGCAACAAGACGGACACGCCGAGCCCGTACGCCCCTGCCACCCTGCCGGTGCTTTACAGTTCCGACTACGGTTTCTACCCCGGCGCCAAGATTTACCGCGGCTACTTTGACGGCGTCAACGCGACGTCTGTCAACATCACCGCCTCGGGCGGTCTGGCGTTCGGCTGGTCGGCGTGGGTCAACGGGCAGTTCCTCGGCGGCGACGCCGGGTCCGCGTTGGCAACCACCACCAACAAGACGCTCGCTTTCCCCCGGGGTGCGCTTCGCCAGTCGAACAACGTCGTGACGGTGGTTGTCGACTACCACGGACATGACCAGGCGAGTACGGCGCAGGGCATCAACAACCCGCGCGGCATACTCGGCGCCCAGCTGCAGCCCGGCAGCACGCGCACTAACACGGGCTTCAAGCTGTGGAAGCTCACGGGCGCTGCCGGTGGTGAGACGAACATCGACCCCGTCCGCGGGCCCATGAACGAGGGCGGCCTCTACCCGGAGCGCCTGGGCTGGCACCTCCCCGGCTTCGCGCCCACCGGCTCCTCCTGGAAGACGGAAACACCCTTGGACGGCCTCTCCCGCGCGGGTATCCGGTTCTACGTCACCGAATTCACGCTCAATGTCGACTCGGACCTGGATGCACCCCTGGGTCTCGAGTTTTCCGCGCCCGCGGGCACCATCGCGCGCGTCATGTTCTGGATCAACGGGTACCAGTACGGCAAGTTCGTCCCACACATCGGCCCGCAGACGCGGTTCCCTTTCCCGCCGGGCGTGCTCAACAACCGCGGGCGCAACACTCTGGCCGTCAGCCTGTGGGCGCAGACCGACACCGGCGCCAAGCTTGACGGGCTGAAATTGGTGCGCTATGGCCAGTACCAGACAGATTTCAAGTTCAACCGCGACTGGAGCTATCTCCAGCCCGGATGGAAGGACCGACAGGAATATGCTTGAAACGGGCCTGCGAGGCAGTCTCGGCCCTCACGAGATCGGGTAGTATCTAGTAGTACATAGTTTACAACAGTTGACTTCGCGTGGACTCGGTGGCTGTATTAAGCTCCTTGTCCCGCGTCGCTTGTGCCCTCATGACCAACGTCCACTCTGCGGCGTCTCGCTCGTGCCGCCGGGCCTCCTTCTCCCTGCCCTGGTTCATGCAGATGCTGCGTAGCCTCTCGTGCTCGTCCACTAGCAACTGGTACGTCTCACTGAGCCCCGAAGCGGCCGCCTTGGTGAGCCAGTCAAGGGTGGATTCGCTTCTTGGGAACAACCTGGCCAGGCGGTAGAAGCCCCTCGCACAGTCGAGGTCGGCGAGCCGCCTGAAGGCCTCCTCCGCCTGTTTCTTCTGGTTCAAGCGTTGGTGGGCGTTGCCCTGGCCCTCGAGGCACGTCGGCTCCCAATCGAAACGGTCTGCACGCTTGCCGACTGTTTCGGCCTGCACAAAGGCCTCGAGGGCAAGGGAGTCGTCCAATGGGTTGTTGCGCTTCAGGTGAATCAGGCCTTTTAGAACGAGGGCGTTGGCGTCGCGGCCCTCCTTTATAAGCGCCATGCAGCGATAGCGCGCTTGCCGCCACCATGGCTGGTCCCAGTGGAAGTAGTCCTGCCTGGTGCGCGGACGTTGGAGGATGCGGCCGAGGCTGAGGGCGGCGGCGTCGTCGCCGAGGCCTGCGGCGGCTCTCAGCATGGTGCAAGAAAACTCGAACTCACTTCCGCGAAGTGATTGGAGGGTGAGCACGAGTGTGGCCGTCTCATGGAGCTTGGCAGCCGAGGCGTTTGTGTCTGCAGCTCGTCAGCAGGCGGCGCAGGTCGGTCGGGGGGTTGCAAGAGATGTGTCACCTATCGCGAACTTTTCCTGCCAACCGGCAGGCCTTTGCTTGGCGGCCACGGCCTTCATGTATTTCGTATACATATCGTGCGCCTCTTGTGCCGTGACATGCTTCATATCCAAGTCTTTGATCCGGATTTGGAACTCTGAAAGCGAGCGGGGTGCTGCCGAGACTTCTGTCGGCAGCATATCCGGCGTCATCGCCTGTTTGATCCGCGGATTGGGGCGAAGCTTCGCTTTATTCTTGAGAGTCCTTCGGGTAGTAAGCGATACTGGAACATGGACGGCTGGCGATAGGAGGCCGACCAGGAGGTGCCTCCCGTAGCGGGCGGGAACTGTCGTGAGGTGGAACATGGTGAGTTGGTCCTCAAGGCCCCATAACGAAGTGAGCAGGCGGCAGGCCTCTGGAGGTGGGTGTGGTCGATGAATCGCCAAGAGTTTGCAGTATAGCTCCAGATTTGCCCGGAATGAATTGGCTGATGCTGCCGTGTGGTTGAGTGAGTGTCTCTGTATGCTGAATATGAGTTGAACGCATCAGCAAGCAGCTATGAGATCAACAGGGGTCCACGCGATGAAGTGGGTCCGTGTTTTCGGCCAATCAATCTCTACCAATACAACGGCGAGCCTGCCCCACATCGAAAAAAAAAGTGCGACTACACCCTCAGCGGCGACATTCACTCACCAACTCACCAACAACTCTTCATAACATCATTATTCAGCATTTGGCCAAAATTTTCCAGGAGCTTGAGTCTCGAAAAGATTGGACTCATAATAACACGAGCTTCCTCATAGCTGTACCCCGTCAGTGAAACCGTCACCAAGAATTTGATCGCTGGCCCCCGGCCCGTCATCACATATTCACACCCGAAATGGTCACCACACGGAACGGGAAGCGCACAGCCGCCGAGGCGCCGGCGACCGAGACCACCAAGAAGCAGAAGCTGCCAGTCAGGTCAAAAGACGGCAAGACTACGCCCAAGAAATCCTCCGGCAAGAAGGATGAGAGCAGCCAGCCGTCGTCAAAGAGGAGATCATCGCTTGTCGTCGAGCTGAGGTCGGAGGCGAACCTATGTGACGCCCAGGAGGTTCACGAGCAGCAGATTATCACAGGCGCCGAGCAGCCGGCCCCGGAACCAGAAGCAGGGGAGGAAAGGCTCATCAACGATTCGGAGGCGTCCGTGAGCGATGGCCAGGCCGCGGAGAAGACGACGGCGCTGGTCGCCGAGGGGGATGACGGCTCAGACTCGGACGAGGCGCCCGAGGCCGTTTCCACGTCCAAGGCTGCGGTACAGGCCAAGAAGTCTGCACAGGCAGCCAACAAGGCCATCGCAGAGTGAGTTCCACCGCCTTTGCCGCTTCCCGGCGTTCGAAGCTAACAGATCGCAGACAACAAGCCGCCCAAAAGCGCAAGCGCCAAGAGCGCAACGCCCGCCTTCAGGAGCAGGCCGCGGCGCGCAAGGCTCAGGAGGACGCGGCCCAGGCGGAGGAGTCGAACGAAGAGGAGGCCCAATCAGCCCCGGCACCGGAGACGACCGGACGCCGGAGGCTCAACAAGCTTGACCTCCCCTCCGAGCTCCCGGCCGAGTACCTCGACTCCGACTCAGAAGACGAGGGCGGCGGCGACGGCGAGACAGGCGGGAAGGCCCGCAAGGCGCTCAAGCTGCACACGGCGGAGGCGCAGTTGGCGCGCGAGAGTCGCGGGCCCAAGGACGAGGTCGTCGGGTCGACGCTGTTCCGGGTTGTCAAGAAGGAGGACGAGAGGCTGGCGCCCAAGGCGCAGAAGTCCTCGGTCAACGCCAAAAAGGCGCTGCTGGCGCGCGGCAGGGCGCCCGTGAAGGCGCGTAGGGGATTCTTGGTCTGAGCCTTGCGTGTGTATGGGAGATTCGTGCTTAATGGGGGGGGAGGGTGGGGCGCGGCACTGCAATAACGGACAGGAAGGAAAGCAATGAACTATACAAAAGTTTGGGTTTGCGGAATCAAGCGGGGTCAATCGTAAAGGGTTTAGTCGAGTGAGATTTGTTCATCCCACCAAATTGCTTCCGATCCAAGTCCGAAGAACGACGGTTCCCGCCCGACCAAGTCTCCACTCCGACATGCAGTCGCCGTTGAACGGCCGTTAATCCACTCCACCCGGCCCGGACTGAGGCCTGTATAAAAAACTCGCGGTATCTTATCCCGACTCCACCCCGCACCCAGCGAAGACGTCCCATAGGACGCAGATCGGGTTGCTGTGTGCCATCATTGTGGGTTGGCATTGCGCCATTCGACGACCCATCCACTGATGCGGATGTTGGCCGAATCAGTAGATGAGTATTGCCGATTGGGGTACTAGATTGATCAGTTACATTCTGGCGTCTTGCTTTGAACGGCCTCCGCGGCGAGTCGGGCGGATTGATATCAGGCGGGTGCTAGGCCCGTTACCCTTACTTACTCTCTATAGTAAGTAGTAAGAAACTTGGGCCCTGAGACATCAAGCCTTTTGACTGCTGCGACCATCGCGATGGCTTCACTTACCGAAAAATCGCCCGCAGTGGCCGACGGCCCTGCCGACGCCCGCGACGAGACGCAGGAAACGTCGCGCGAGGGCCCGTGGATTCGCCTTATGACCGCCCTTCACTGGTACTCCCGCGGCACACCCAGCGAGGAGAAGAAGCTCGTGCTCCGGCTCGACTTGTTTATCCTCGTCTTTGGCTGCATGTGCTTCTTCACAAAGTACCTCGACCAGTCGTCCCTCACAAACGCCTACGTGAGGTAAATCGCCGCTCTCTCGCCCGTCTCTGCGAAGCTGACCGGCCCAGCGGCATGAAGGAGGACCTCGACATCCACGGCAACGAGCTAAACTACATGACCATTGTGTTCTGGTCCTCGTATTGCACGTCCATGATTCCGGCCTGCTACTACCTGACCCGCTACCCCATCAACGTCGTTCTGCCTGTCCTCGAGATCGGCTGGGGCCTTTCGACCTTTGCGCTCGCCTGGGCGCGCAACGTCGAGACCGTCTACGCCATGCGCTTTTTTACAGGCCTGTTCGAGTCCGCCTCCTTCACCGGCGTCATCTACGTCATCGGCTCCTGGTACAAGCCGTCGGAGATCGGCCGCCGCGTCGCCCTCTTCTACATCGCCGCGCCCCTGGGCACCACGTTCGCAGGCTACCTGCAAGCCGCCGTCTGGCTCAACCTGCACAACGCCCGCGGGCTCGCCGGGTGGCGCTGGCTTTTCATCGTAGACGCTCTCATCACCGTCCCCCTCGCCTTCATCGGCTTCTTCGTCTTCCCCGACGTGCCCTCGCGCTCGCGGCCGAGGCTCCTGCCCGCGCGCCTGTACGCCTTCGCGCAGAAGCGCCTCGAGGGGCTGACGGCGCCGCCGCCGCTCAGGGCCTCGCGCGACATCTTCAGGCGCGTCTTCACCCGCTGGCACCGGTACCTCTTCGTCGCGCAGTGGACCATCATGAACGAAAACCTACAGCCCAGCGGCTCACCCTTCTCGCTGTATCTCAAGGCGTTCCCCGAGACGTACTCAGTGACGCGGATCAACACGCTGCCGACGGTCGCGACGGCCATCTCCATCGTCTCGGCCTTCGCGGCGGGCGCCCTCGCGGATCGTACCGGCTGGTTTGCCGGACTCTCCGCGGCTGCCGCCGTTTCCTCGCTGGTCGGCGTGGTCATGCTCGTGTTCTGGGACGTGGGCGAGGGCGGGCGTCTGGCGGCCTTCATGCTCGACGGCTTCGAGGGCGCGGTTCCTTCGCTGACGATGGCGTGGGCGACTGTGACGATGGCCGGCGACGCCGAGGAGCGCGCCATTGTCACCGCGTCGATGAACGCCATCGGCCAGGCCATCGTCACCTGGGCGCAGCTGCTGCAATTTCCCGCTGTCGAGGCCCCCCGCTTCATCCACGGTTTCAGGAGCGTCGTGGGGACAATGGTCGTGCAGTTCTTTGTTACCGGCGCTATTTGGTTTCTGGCGAGGGGGGATTCCAAGGCGAATAAGCAGTGGTCGGAGGGCGATGGAGACGAGCAGACTCAGGTGGAGGGGGGACAGGAGGGTTTTTGGGGAACGTCAGCCACGGGACCGTAGTTCAGTTGAGGGCATTGCAAGGTGGGGAGGATATTATACCCAGGAGTACTAATCTCCATCCTTGAAGTTTGTCACGTCGAGGTTTTTTTTCATTTCGAGGCACGAATATACTCTGTCAATTTGGATAGCGTTCCGGAACTCTGAACAGTCGAGGAACCGCTTGCAAGATACCAGACACATCGATGGGGGCAGGATTGTAGCAATTGTGAACATATCTATGTACGACAAGCGACTATCTAAGGGAAGTAACAGGGACAGGTCAACCACCTCAGAAGTGGCGACAGTGCTTCGACATAATTCTATGTCTCTTCCGCCATGCAAATCTGCAACATATTTTGGCTGAGGTCCACGACCGGTTACCACGTAACAATATCTCAAGCGAAGTAATCATGACGGTCTCTCGTCGACATCAACCTCACCGCTTCTTTCTTCTCTTTGTCGGCCGGGCGCCGTCAATGTCATCGTCGAAGCTGGCGCGCTTGGTTCTCTGTTTGCTCTTCTTCCATTCCTTGGTTTTGACTTCTACAGCTTGCTGACACGCCTGCTCTAGGAGATCGTTACCCATGTCTCCCAGTTTTTGCTTCTCGCACCACTTGCGAAGTCTTCTCTCCCGGTCTTCAGGAGAAGAGACAAGCTTGGCTTTGCGCCGTTCCATCCACTGGGAGATGCGCTCGACAGCTTCATCGAATTGGGAAATGTCGGGCATCAATCTCTCTAGCCGCCTTTCCAGCACCGCCAGTTCGTTGATACGATCGTTGCCAGCCACAATATCCTCGGTGATTTGGTTGCAGCCGTCGAATGCGCTCTTCAAAGAGATGCTGATCCCATCACTATTGATCCTCGATGCCCAGCAGACGACCATGTCGTATGCCTGCAGCAGGCCCAAGCGAGAGAAACGCAAGTCATACGTATCCTCGACGAGGCCCAGTAAGAGCACGTGAATGGATCTGCCATCTGGCAACTTTCGTTGAGTAACGTCAATCCTCACATGAGGATGGATGTAGTTCGCTAGACTTTCTTCCTTTCGTTGGATTGTGTCCTTTACTTTGCCCGAATGGCTATTCGTCTCGTTCTCCAACTCTTCGACGACGTGTTTCTGGAGCCTGACGGCCGCAGGGACGGGAACCTCGAAAGGAAAGCCCCCCACGCACTTTCTTTTGGGGCACAGATACCTCCATATTTCCTGGCGAGTCACCAGAGGCATAAGAGCAGAATGTTCCGAGCTCGCCTTCTCGATTGGGCCCATAGCGATGGCTGGCTCGTCTTCGTTTTTCGGCTGGATAGCCTGTTGGTCTGTGACCCTGCGCAACGCCTGATCTTTCAAACTTGTGAGAGGGGCGAAACCTGCCATTCCCTTGGGGTTTTCGTGAAGGAGGAAGTCACCGAACGCCTCGGCAAAAGCTATACTTTTCTGTGCGAAATCAGGCGCAGATATAGCACCAGCGCGGAAAACTGTTGCCAACATGTTCGTCTCTGTAGGCATAGACGTTTGTTGAAGTCTGTTTCTCTGCGCTTCTGATAAATTTTGGGTCTCGAGTAGGCTTGGAATAGTCCAACGATGGACAATCCCTTGGGCTAGGAGGTTGTTCCTGAAATATTGAGTGTCGGTCTCCTGTGGAACCTCGAAGTTGATGTGACGCTTGATTTGGGCAAGGGAGCTTGTTAAGGGATCAACAATACCGGTATTGAACTTTCCATGATTGTACTTCTGGTTCCTTATGATGACCTGAGCCCCCATAATACCCATATCACTGGTGAAGGCCTTCGACCAAGGGTAGCCGCCATTATAGTCCGGAAAGCCCAAGACAAGTATCCATATGTCAACTTTGCTGGAGATCATTGGAAGATGGCAACGACGTCGAACGAGCCATTCCATGTGATGCTGAAGAAGTTCGTCACCGTCCGCAGGCACTTGTCTGCATTCGTCGTATGTGTGGCTTGTCGTGTTGCACATCGGGCAACCGGACATATCACCACGTTGCCGATTCATGCCGCGCATATAAGTGCAGTCTGCAAGCTCATGGCCCGCTACATGACATTGACCGCAGATCTTCTTGTTCCATCGGAAGCTGGCATGGTCCCTTTTGCTGATGGCCTTTCCGTCTGACATCTTACGTGTCATCTGAGTAGGGTGAGTAAGAGCTCGGGAAAAGAAAATACAAAAAAAATTGCCACTTGCCTGCAGAAGTCATGCCTGATGTGTAAAGGCCACAGGAAGCGTAAGTCAGCTGGGGTAATTAGGCGGGCTGGTGAAGTTGGCAAGTTAACTTGGAGGAAGGCTTCGGAGATTTAGCCTCTGCCTTGGAGAGATCAAGTATCAGGCGATATCCAGCTTTCAGTTGACGAACTTGATGGAGCAATGAGTGAGGTTGTGGGATGAGTAGAAGAAAATGGTGAAGTAGGTGGAGGGGGAGGATTTTAGGCAGGAAGAAATACCCCCAGTTCCTGAAAGTTTTACTGGTGAGAAGTTTCACGTGTAATCTTTTGACCAGGTCTTATTACTAATAGGTATGTAGCCCGGCGATTCACTCAGCTGGTGTCTTTGCCTCCAGTTCAAGTCTCCTGTACTGTTACTCTCCTTAGTTTAGGTAGACAACAAGGCTCCTTACATCACCTTTGGATCCCCTGGCAGAAAGGCAAGCAGGTAACTTCTGTCAACCTTACGACTAGGTCAACACTCTTGTCTTGAAGGTGTCTGTCACTTCTAGGCCTATCCAGGTGGTAGCAGCTTTGACGAGCACAGCTATGGAGGCCTTGTTCAAAGTCGAGACTCAGGGACAAAACACAGGTAGGAAGGCCCCCGTGTGGTATGAACACCTGTAGATAGATAGGTATGATGGAATTCATAAAGGGTTGGGCAAATTTGTTTGTCAAGATACAAATGAAGTTCCCAAGGCCTACTAAGAGACCCTCTTGGTTGTCACAAAAGGGGTTTCATTCCAGGTGTAGAGGGGACATACGTGCATATGCACCCAGGTGTTTTGCGCAGTGCACAAGCTGATGAGCTTCACCGTTGAGCTTGAAAGGATACCATGCAAAGAGCTATAAATGGCAGGTGAGAGCACCTTAGAGGGAAAACACGAGTGGTCCCAGACTATGGCAGGAACGAAGGTCACTCACTACAAGTAGCTTCCTCTTCACAATGCTCCTAACAACATCAATCCATCCAACTACATACACACCTCATAGGATATGGCCTGGCCTTCCTTCTCCCGCTTCCTACTCCCACAACACACCCGCTCCCCACCATTCCCTCTCACTCATCGGCTCCCAATTATCACAAAACACAAAAAGCAGGAACATCATCACGTGCAACTTGTGAAAAATATGACCCCCACCCGATTTGAACGGATAACCTTTCGATCTGGAGTCGAACGCGCTACCGTTGCGCCAGAGGGCCTTGTGATTGTCAAATTGAGTGCTTGGATGTGAATATGGATGAATCCACTTGGTGTGAATTTGTGTGGTGGGTGTTGTGCTCGCAGGGAGTGCCCCTCATTGGCTGCACGTGTATTGGGGCCGCACCTGCTTCTTTTAAGCATTGCGGCAAGAGCCGAGGCACCTTGTCTCACCCAAGTGCGTCTGCCCCGAGTCCCTTCCCACAAACCTGAATCGGGCGGGTCAGAGTCAATGCAGCAGTCAACATAACTCCCAGAAGGGAGCAGGATGGGCTGCAAACCACCCATCTCCAGTTGAGCTCGACCTTCAAGGAACCAGATGCATAAGCAAGCGCGCTTCTGGGCTTCGGCTGGCAACTGAACTGAGGTACGTATCCAAGGCCCCTCATAAGATCGCACAGTACACAATGATACTGCAACACAGTATAGCCATCGTGCCCGAAACTCAACACCATAGTGGGAATGGAACTAGCGACTGAACAGAGTGCTTCCTGGGACCGGAATCAGGGAACGGCGAGTCGATGGTCTGCGGGTCGTTGATATTGTACGATGTACATACCACCAGTAAGGAGCCTGTCCACGAGTCTTCCCTCTCTGATCCGCCATGCCATCGAGGCCGGGTTACGGTGCCAACGAGGTGGAGACACCTGCTGTAGCAGGGCGGGGAGCTGTTGCAAAAGGGACGTTGACCGGCGGGACCACGTCTTACTAGTCCTCTGATAATACCCGTCAAGACGATTTCGAGGGCCATTGACAGCCCCCTCCCCCCCCCCTTCGCTTTACATCCTCTGCTCGCATGCGTGGCGTGCATAAGGTATGGTGTGGTGACATTGTCCTTTGCAGCTTCCCACTTGGACGTTCGGCGAGCAGACTGACCGATACAACAGGACCAGTGTGCGTCCCATGTAGGAAACGGATTCGCAGCGTTGTGCTCAGCCAGTTACTCTTATCGCCTATGGTACCTACGTCTGTGGGGTTGATTTTAACAAGCTTGGCAGAGTGATCCAATAATCACTCAACCATCCGAGAGCGGCCGTCTGTGCGATAAGGTTGCTAGATCACCGTGTCGTCTGACCCGAGGGACGCGCCAACGTGCTTGATCTGACACGGCGGATCTCGAATGCGAAGGTGTACATATGCCTTTGCTCGACGCACACAAATGCCCCCAGCCCCTGCCCCTTGGCTTGGTCGAAGAAGTGATCGTCATGGGGTCAACGGAAGCGCACCATGGCAGAGCTTCGGCGCGGGATTGGGCCTGGTACTGGATAGAGTACCGGTAGGAGCGGGCTTCCCGACGCTAGGGTTGGCCGTCTTGGGGATGTTTGGAAAATAATATGAAACTCTCCAATCGTGTGGAACGTGATCAAGATCTAACGCTGGGCTGCGGAAACCCTGGCAGTTTCGCCGTCGATTTGGAATGAACGGCCCGTTTTTCACAAGCCTTCAACCATTGATTCTTCCTTGGCTGGCGGAGGCCGTTGCAATTCGAACAATGCCGGCTGCTGACGGCCAGCCTTCTGGCGTTTTCCATCACAAAACCGACCGTACGGGAACGGGCTTGTTTGATCCAGCTCGAGATTGCCCAACGCTGCGGGCCGTTAGTTAATCTTCCGCGCGCCCACTGCGCCGCGTTGTGCAGCTGAGACTCGACGTGCGATGTTCGGGCCGGTTCTCAGCCAGCGCCCATCGACCACACTGCCTTGCCACCTTGAGCGATTCTCGTGCCCTGCCCTGCCCGAAGAAGCTTGGATGAGGTGCGGAAGGCCGAGTCAGAGGCTTACTCATGGGCAGTTGCGTGATCCCCCTCGCCAGCTCCGAATCTAGCAGATTCTGCGGGCTGCAGCATTTCGGATCCGAGCTGTAGACGGATATATGCGGCATGATGATGGTCGATTGCCTGTTTGATCATCATCCGCACCTGCGGGCGCGAGACTGACTCGGCCGGCGCGCCGAAGCACAGAACGCTACGTGCAGACAACGCCAAATGCTGTCGAACGCCGCTGACGAGTGACTGCATTGCGAAGGCGCTAGGCAGGCAGACGTCGTCCTTCTGGCGCTTGCCGGCCGCTGCTCGAGGCGTTTGCACACGTCCCCTATGCGAATGATCGTCGACGTAGGTCCCGCCGACGTCAGCCTCACAAACCGCTTCGTAGAGTGACGGCTGCGAGCTCGTCAGCCACGTGAGCCTTATCGCCTTAGGTCGACGTTGCATTCGCGTCGTCGGCAGGCGAGAACACGAGTTTAGTCCCTGACCAACCTACTACGTAACACCGCCCTAGCCGTTTGATGTTTGATTGATGCTGAGCAGAATTTCCGACTAATGCCCTAACCCGAATTCGAAACCCCTCTTTCATCTCTAGTTCCTCGTCCCGTTGGCGAGGACAAACGAACAGGCCGCATGCACGATGGCATTGCACATTTCAGATATTTGACTCTGGCTGGAGCTCTCTCTCTCACCCAACGCCGGTGCATCCTGGATCGTCTGATATGTCCGACAAGACGAGAGCCCCTCACGGCTCTCCGATTAGCTGGACGAGTCGACTGGCGTTCGTGAGGGCTGGCGGCGCGGAGACGGGCCTCGGGAATGGTGAGACATGGAAACGTCTTGGCTTGGTTCCCGAGGCGTGGCAGCCCGGGCTTTAGGTTCTCCATTATACGTTTGGCCCGTCGGTTCGACAGGGCCAGGCGCTGGTCCTGGTATTTACTCTCCTCTGTGCCCTCAGTGGTGGTGAGGCGCGCAAAGATGCACAAGTCAAGCCATGAGTGGCATCCCAGCCAGGGGCCCCTCTGCCCCTCGCAACAACTTGAAGCTCTTCCGCTCTCCCCGGCCTGGGTTGCGTTGGTCGGACATGAGCGTCTGGACTGTGCTGTTTGTCGAACCAGGGATCGCCGCCCACACGAGCGCCTTGTAAACCGAGTGCCCCGCACTTCGGCAATTGAGACGCCTTCGTCTCCCATGCATGTACACTGTAGGTGGCATCGGGCGCAAATGATCATTATCGCGCCTCTCTTTAGGGTCGGGTCTGGGAATGGCGGCTTGCTGGTGGCGTCCGGGTCCGGTACGGCGCGGTGCCCGCACGTGGCGAAGGATAAAGATGGAGCTGGCCGGGCATCGTCATCCGGGAGATGCCAATCGTTACCCTACCGAGCAAGCGCGTCGCCAGCGCTCCGGGTATGGATACTTCGTACAGACCTACGCCTTAATTCCATTCCCGCGAGGCGGGCTAGGGCACGCACAGGTCCCAGCTTACCCAGCTAGAACGACGAGTGCTGCATCTTGGCTCCAACCCCCCAGGCCAAAGTTTCTCTGCCGTGCAACATACGAATCCGTATGACGGCGATCTGGAACGTTGGACAGGCGGGAGGGAGATTCATGTGCGCTTGGACGCGGGAATATCCAGTCTTCCCGTTGGTCTCAAAGCAAACCAAGTGGCACATCTAGCCGTGCGGTAGGCTGCGCTCCGGGCTCTTAGTTGCGGCTATAGCCTCAAGGCTGTTGGAACAACCGGCTCGGCATGGATGAGCCCACCACACACAATTACCAGTCGGCGAGAAGGGGGAGAGAAAAAGAAAGAAAGGAAAAGTGAAGCACAGGCCGATAGTGTGCCATGAGTGCTCGCCGCTTCCTTCTTCCTGAGCGGCCACCCTGTTCTGAGTTGAGAATGGTATCCGCATCATGACGATCTGAGGGGAACCATAGCCCAAACTCTGATATAATTAGTTACGTATCCGGGTTTCCTCTCTAGGGTTGATGACCGACATGAGCATTACACCAAGCTCTAACCACACCGTCTGCAGGGCTGTCGGGGCTCGCCGTCATCAAATGTCGTTAGTATTGGCAATACACACAGTAGACGAGATGTGTTGTGCGGCTGTGCCGCCGCCCTTGGCTGTGCTCCACTGCCTCTTTGCTCGTTTGGACTTGCGATTCAGCCATCCACGAACGCAACAGAGCTATGCTTGCGAGAGAGAGAGAGAGCGTCTCCATCGAGTGTTGAATCGTTACGCAAGGATCGCCTGTCTGCCGATGCAGGGAAAACTCTTCCAGCAGGATGCGTCCAGTGGAAAATGGCTGTTTCTGCCTGCTGGACATTTGGTGTGTGTTCCTTTACAGACGAGGGGGCTCCCTGGCAACCCGACGGGGCCTTGCAGCCGAGTCGCCTCCCTCTGCTGAAGCATGGGGGGGTCTGCGTGACGATGGCGCAGCACAACATACTATGATACCAGGCCGAAATAAAAACACCCCTGTTAGGTATCTTACTCTAACACTTACCATCTTACTTATTTAAGTAGCGGGCATTACAGTACTGTTTACTAGCCTAGCCAGCTGGGTTGTGTGGCGATATTACATAACTGGGGTATTTTATTTACCCCTGCCACCCTGTACATCGGCTCAGGACGGAATGATGTAGGAGAGCAGGACCAGAAAAATAAAAACTGCCAACTTTTGTGCATGCCCAAATCGACGGCCCACGGAGCATTTCGCGCGATCCGGATCGGCTCAGGTAGGCTCCATTTAAAGGTCCACAAGCTGATCATTGACTAGCAGCATGAATATGGGCAGGGCAGGGCGGTGGCGCACTCGGGGGAATTGGAACGCACATATCCGCCCCCACAAACTAATTAAGCGTCTCCTTTATTGTGCGTCGGCAAACCGTCTTGTCTAACAGCCACGCCCAAATTGAAACCGTATGAATCGTCAGCGGCCCGTAGAGTGGTTGGGTCGCACGAAACAAACGTTACCGCACTGCACCATCGATTGTGTCGAGAGAAAAAGAAAGTCGGGGAAAACACAAAGGCCCCTTGTTTGACTGCAGAGACCAATGGAACCTCTCGGCCGCCACTGGCTTGTGTGGTTCGCCGATTGGGATGATGGCGCCTGATCTTGGCTTCCCACCTTGGATAGTGTACACTGATTGATTGGTGGCATTAGGCAGGCGGACGACCTCAGTGAAGGGAAGCTTGGAAGCCACAGAGATGTACCTAACGACACTGCAGCTAGCGCCACTCGTGCAGCAACGGCGCCTTAGCTTGGAGTGCTGTCAGTGTAGCGTAAACTAGGTACGCTATTAGCTAGGCTTCTGGAACCAGCCAGACCCCGGGCGTCGTGGTTGGAGAGACGCTCAAGCCACGGTGTGGCTCACATTCGACATGTTCTGTTTACTTCCGAATACCACGGTGCCGGCCTACGAGTAATAGCCGAGAGAGTGGTGCTTCAGTGCCTCTCAGTCTGAACCGCTTGCATCAAGGTGGCGGTCATGTGGCCTTGGGAGGGGCGGAGAGAGGTGCCGGGCGCAAGGAATCAGCATGTAGTGTGTACAAGCGCTCTCGCTATAAACCGTCACCTCGCAAGCCACTTTCGAGGAGGAACAGCGAACCTGTTGCGGGTTTCGAGATGGAGAGCTTGGATTGCGCAGAGATCCCGGCCGATTTCTCCCTGTGGCCCGCAATGTTTTCTATGGCTAACCAGACTTCAATGTTAGGCACTCTGGCCAGCCATTACCCCTCCCTAAGGTAGCGGTGACTGATGAGGAGGACAAGCAAGGCCAGGGGCCGCACGTTGCGAGCGGACGCAGGGTAGCTATGAACATCAGAAGTTGTAGGGGTGGCCCTCGTTGCTTTGGATTCTTCAGTCCTCTGGCAGCCCCCAAGCCCTTCCTTGCCACGTGCTGTGACTCGTAGCCACAAAGCCAGCTGGCCAATGCCGGCGTTTGCCAATTCCTTGCCCAGGTAGTCTGCGACTTGTGGGGTGGGTTGTACAAATATTCGTACGGATGGGAAGACCATAACGTGCCAGTTGCGTAGAAAACGAGATGAGTTGGGTCGTCGTTGTTTATTTCCGAGCGAGGGGGCAACCCCCTTCCGTTGTCGTCGGGTGGGGGTCCAAGGGTGAGCAGCACACTTCGCAACCCGGACGCTGATGAGGGCTGGACAGTATCTACAGCGAAACCTGCTAGCGCGGCTAATCTCAACACCCTCATATACGCGACACTATATCGGATTGCAGCGATGGGAAGGTGGTTGTGGCCGCCCCAATCAGGTTGTTGGCATGAGTGTGGGTGAAGGACCTCCGACTGATAGCAAAGCGTATGCTGTAGGTATGCTGTACATAGTACACGCGCGCATGTACATGGCAGTACTCCGTAGGCGTTTGGGGCAGCCGGAAACCATCAAGGATGATACCGAGAGGAGGGACGGGAGGATCCAATGAGATCTGAGGACCCCCGAACCACCGAGCGATGACGATGGCTGTGGGTGCAGAGGTTTGCACAGCGCCGCAGCCCCAAAAGTGGCTCGCTCCTCTCTCTCTCCGTGGCTCTGGGCATCGGCCGTGTGCCTAGCCACATGCCGAGAGCCGTCATGCAGCCGTGTCCGCGTGTGCTTGTGGCGAACGATTGATTGGAGTCATGACGGCCATGACTGTGGTTGTTTGCCAGCCAGCTGCGGAGAGAAGCAAATTCGTCGACAGCATCTGTTGAGACGACAAGAATAGTGTCGTACTGCGGTGGAGACCCATGCCTTGTGCAACAGAATCAGAGGTGGGGGGCTCCGTGACTACACTAGCAGTTTAGAATGGGGGGGCCTGAAGAGTTCGAATTTTACGAAATGGTGTCCCTATCTCCTAATCCGAGCGTCGATGAATTGACGCTCGTTGAAGCCAATTCAGGACAGGTGGTGGTGGGTGTAAAGGGCAAAAATGTGCCGGGGGCCCGAAAGGGAAAGAGAAAGACGAAAAGGCAGATGGGCAGCAGAAACCCAGGTGGCCGTTTCCTTCCATTTGGAAGGCCCCACTTGCCAGGTTCAAGGGAGGAGGCTTCGACGGGGGTTAGAGAGGGATCCATCGGGGCCAGAACAGGGGAGATCAGCGGCGGGGCGAGTCGTCGGGCTCTCTCTGGGAGGGGTCTCGCGAGAAGACGCCAGCTCGGGGGGTGGGTCCCCCTGGGTCATCGGAGCCACGCGACTGGCTGAAAGATGCAGGCCGTGGAAATTCGAAGCTGCCATCCGGTGGCTCCCACAGCCCCGGCCGGTGGAGGCAAATGAGTCGCAGGTACATCATCACACGCAGAGCGATGCTAGTAGAGGAAGGTACCTGGTGGGGCGGAAGCGACCCCTCGGCTGGGTAGGTGGGATAGGTGCAATCGTACTTGGTAAGGGAGCAGGAACAGAGTGCGTATCTGTTTGGTTCGGCTGAGGAAGGTAGTAGCAGTCCGTCCGTCCGTCCGTCCGCGGATGGTGATCTCTGTGAAGGGGGAGGAGGATGAGGAAGGGGAGGAAGAGAGGGAGGAGGAGGAGGAGGAGGAGGAGGAGGAGGAGGAGGAGGAGGAGGAGGAGGAGGAGGAGTGCATTGTATGGTTGCATGGAGAGATAGGAGTTCGATTGTCCAAATGGAAAGCCAAAATCTTTCAAGCCGGGGGAGCCTTCCCTCGAGCCAAGGCGGGGCCTAGGTCCTGGAAACCACCCGTCCCCCCCGGCCGGGTCGATTGTGATATGCAACCATGTGTAAGGCCGGCCTGTCAATGTTGGTACAAACGGCATCCGCAAACACCGACTGTTCGTGCATGCTCCCCCCTCCCAGCCAACGCCGCAAGCCATACCAGAGGCGACCACGCCGGCAAGGGACACAAGAAACAAGGTCTTTCGCGTGCTTGCCCACACGGATGGACGGGTAGGAGCCTGGGGTTGGACCGAGGTAGGCTACGTGCCTGAGTTGGTTTACGTCCGTCGAGAGATGCAACGCGCACACACTGACTGATAGAAGGGTCCGGAGCCCTGTACATGGGACCGGTAGCAGGAGGACTAGAGCAGTACCGGGTTTTGTTTAGGAAACGCAGCACTCTCCGGGGTAGTCGATTGTATATCCACCCTGAGTCTGGTCGTACCACGCACGGCCCCCTCGCGAACCTCTTACGGTACCCAGGTACCTACCTACCTTATTACTAGGTTCCTCTCGCCAAGGGGGTTGACAGCCACAGGGCGACCGAGCAATCGTGTGGATTTGACAGGCCGCGGCGTGGGCAAGAAAGAAAAAGAATGGCAAGAAGGGGGCTAGCAAAAGTTCGAGGGAGGAAAAAACAAGAGCACACGGGATTTGAAGTCGAAAAGAAAGCAGGACATCATTTCCGGGCCCGTGCGAAAGGGGTATCGTAATGATACATCACATGGCAGAATCGATCTGCGGCCATCTTGTGGCTGTCAATCAACTGTGCAATGCACGAGCACGAGCGAACATGAGCACGAGCAGCAATGGCACACAGGCCACCTGGGTTCATATCACCAAAGATGACGATGGTGCAGGAGAATCCAGCAAGGCGAGGTTCGGCCGTTCTCCTGGAGCAAGAAGTAATAACAAATCCCGGGGACAAGGCCCCGGTTTTTCCCTTGTATTGCGTCCGTCTTCATCAAGTCTGACATTGTTTCTCCTATTCAGTATCCGTATTTGGGTCACATTTACGAATGGTGTATTGGCCCGCTTGTCGTCCCATTAGTTCGAGTTCTGTCCTCCAGACTTCCCTTAACGCTCGCTGTCTATAGCTGGTCAACGCTCCCGTCTGTACGCTAAAATATTATCCCCCCCCCCCGTGGCGGATATCTAACTGTAGCGGAACGGGCGGGTTCGACTGGATCGATCATCTCCCCCTGGAACCACCCAGGCTGTCTGATCTCTGGGCCTCCGCATCTGATTCGTAGCCCGACGGTCCTGTTGCAACTCGAGCTCCATCTGAGGTTCGTCTTCAAGCCCGGACGACGGACGGCTGGGCCTGCTGGCCGATGCAACAACCACCCCGATAGTCCGCGCGCGCTCTTCCTGCAGATCCTGCAGAGCACAGGACATGCAGAATCAAAACAGCCAGGGCCTTCGCGCAGTCCAGGCTTAGTATCTTCCTTGTCTCCTTCTTCCGAGCAACGACTGTGTGATTGCCGGCACCATCGCTTGGGGCCAGGCCAAGCAAACAAACATCATTGCCCGATTTCACGGCCACAACGTGGAACAGGACCGTTTCCACAAAGAGCCACGCGAGGCACGGGCCAGCCCACACCAGAATCCTTCCCGGATCCCCTCATCTCTCTCCCTCTCCTTCCCTCGCTTTGTGTCGGGGGATAAGGAGTCAGAACCTACCATGTAAACATGTCGGAGGGAGAAAAGAACATGGGAGGGCCCCGCCAACGCAACCTACCTACGTAGTAGTGCAGGCCAACTAGATGGTTCCAGGAATCCCTGCTACCACTCCATAAGGTACATGAACTAGCAGACACCCCCCCCTGACCTTACCACGAGGTACGTATCCAGCCTCGTACGTACCTTACCTAAACGTTAGGTTAGGTACCCTACCCAGGTGGCAGAGAGGAAGGCCGTCCGTCTGTCGTCTCCCCTCCGCAGTGCCTGCACAACAGACTCAGCGGACCTACCGCCGGGGCATGCATCTCCAGTGCCTGTCCACCCGCGCTGCCTGGGTACCGTCCTTACTCTGCATGGTTCAGTACCTCGCTGCGCTGCACCTGCGCTTGTGAGCTGCAACCCAGGGCATCTCCCCTCCCCTCCCCTCCCACCAGCGATCACACCGGCACCCAGAGGCAGGTACCTGGTTTACATACATACCTACCTGGTCAAAGTCCTGGTCCAGGTCCAGGTTTAACCGAACAAAGAAAAAGGGAAAACGTGCAAAGGTCCTTCCTCCCCCCTTCCTCCCCACCCGCAGCACGCCTCTCTTTGCGCTGGCCCTCCTTTCCTTTCCGTACCTCCCTTCCTCTCCGTCGCATAAACACGCGCACCCTCTCCCTCTCTCTGTCTCTGTCTCTACTTCTTTTCGACTTGCGGCGTCTGCGTATATACTTGGACCATTCCCCATTTTGTCCACCCGGCCCTACGCAGTCTACCGTACTGGCGGGCGCTCCCGACAAGACATAACACAACACCCCATCTGTTGTCTCTTTGTCTTCCCAGACACACTTGAGGGAAACCCATCTTTCCCAATCGAGGCTTCAAGGTTTTGGACTCGAACGGCGCAGACCAATCCGACCTTGACGAAAAACCAAAGCTACTTGGCTTTGCACTATCACTTTCGTCTCGCCTAAGGGGGTGTTCCGGTGTTGCGACTAAACCCGACTAATAATACCTTGCTACCGCCGAGACAAGAAGCCGCTTTATCCCATTCGCACACAACGCTGCCGAGCAAGAAGGAAGAAAAGTTTCGAATAAGGAAAGAAGACGACACCCATTCCTCCTGCCATCCCCCTGCCTAAACTATACTGGGACCTGTCGAACCTTGAACTTCCGACGACGTGCGAACCTGCTGCAAACCACCACCTTCTCCTGCATCACCGCCACCATTACAGCAACTCAATTCCTGCTTAACTCCCGTCATTGCACCCTGTTTCGGCGCTTCTTTTGTTGTCTCGACTACAGGATTGCCGCCTCTTTGTCACGATTACCGCGGCCAAGACTACCTACCACATTCGACGACACCCTGCAACCATGCATGTTGTTCAGCCTGCCTCCCATCCGACCCAGCATTGTTGATACAACCATTTGAAACATCCTGCTCGGCTTCCCAGGTCCTTGTGTGACAACCCTCCACAGTCGCACACCCGGGGCAAGCAGTCCTCCCTCTCCTGTTGCTTGCTTTCCTGTTGGCATTGCCTGACAACACGGGTGCATCCCGGCTCCTCATCGCTTATACCGTCTCTATTCTGATATCGCCCTTCCCATTCCCAAAAATATACTCCCGCCCGGTCCTCTTCAACAACCAAGAGGTGTGCTGCACCATTAGCGCAGTCAAACTCAAACGGACAGTCCACCACCACCCGCACTCTCTACGGCACAACGTCTCTGCCACCACCCGCCGCGCACTCCTCGACGAGAAAACCTTCTGATGTTTGGTCGCTCCAGGAAGAGCTCGAAAGGGTTCAACTTTGGATCTTCAGGCTCCAGAGAAGGCCAGGGTAGCCACCTGCTCGACCTTGGTCTTGGGAGCTCAAAGTTTGTCCAAGAACCTTACCGTCCTGGAACTTCCGCCACCACAAGGACCAACAACACTTGGACGACGGATGCGTCAACTTTCCCCGAAAAGAGTACGTAGGCCCCTTGACTGACGTGCGCTCGCCGTGTGTCTGAGTCGTCGTCCAAATGACCAGCTCCGAAAGCTCGGCCGGGACGCGCCGACCTGGCAGAGGCTGGGTAAACGTGCAAGTTGCTGACCATCTTTATGACAGACGTCTCAATAGCTCGCGGCACAGCCCAACGCTCCAACTCGTCAGTACGATCCGGAGCAAGCGCGCATCGAAAAGGCGACAGCTACTCATCCAACAACATGGCATCCGGTGCCGGCCGCATTCGGAGGGAGCGCACCTTTGTAGGAAGTGAATGCGCCGTCTGCGAGGAGCCTCTGGAGCACACGCTGCAAGGTGAACGCATCTTGCAATTCTCGTGCTCGCATGTTTCTCACGAAGCTTGTTTCTACGAGTTCATCCGCGAATTCGAAGCGCAGTACTGCCCCTCATGTGATGCGCCGCTGCATCTCGACACCAGCCGGGGTGGCAACGTCTTGGATATCGGTAAGCACGGTCTCGTGTCTCGCTTGCATAAGACACGGCTAACTCAGCCGCCCGCGACAGAGAAGATCAGCAGTATGGTCAAGTCGAGCCACTCTAGCGACAACAGGTCAAATCATACTCCCACCCCTACTGCCACGCAATGGGACACCCCAACGCCGCGCCCGACAAGCATTGAGTCGAATCAAAGGAATATGACCAGTACCCACACCCGCGAAAGCGCGCCTCGGAGTAGCGGGCGCGACAGGGACAGTAGCCAACCGGCAACGTCGGAGCGATACGGCCCTTCGAGACATGCTCGCAGCGATAGCGAGGCCACCGGCGTGGCATCGTCTGGTGGCTACCCCGAGACGACGCAGAGCGGCCCGCCACGCAGGCACGACTACGACGTCCAGGCAATGGAAACGACGCCGGGCAGCCCACGTGGCATCACCAGGAATCCGATCCCGGCCCCGACTGTGACCGTTCGGTCCGAGTTCCCCACCATCAACAGGTCTCGCCAGCAGCAGACCTTGACCTGTCTCATCACCGTCGAAGTGCCTGACAACAAGTGGCGGCCCGACCCCGAGGACCTCGGGTCAGCCCCGCCTGGCCTTCCCGCCGTGAACGCTCGAATCGACGATGCATTTGCGAGACCGCCATCTCCGGCCCGGAGTGCGCCGCGGTTCTACCCGTACGAGTCGAGGGAGGTGCTGGAGGAGATGACGGAGAACCTCAGAAGCCGGGTGGACAACTGGCACGGCCTTGACTTCAGCAGGTAAGATTTGACCTGTATGTCACTGACCAATGGCACTACTAACGCACTACAGATTTGGAAAATTGAGGCTGTATGGCACACTGCGCGTCGGCAAGGACAAGCAGTCTTGGCAGGAGCTCGAGTGCTTCCTGTTCGCCGAGATGCTGATCTGCGTGAAGGAGAAGAAAGTACCCCTCGCAGGGCAGTGGGACGAGAATGGCATGCCCAAGAAAGCCGTCCGCTGCACGCTGAAAGGGTCGATTCTCATCAAGAAACACCTCAACGAGGTCTCGGAGACGGGCAGCAGTGAGTCGCCATTGTCCTCATTTCCAAGGAACGGTCAAGTTCGAAAACTAGAGCTCGACGCTAACCAACCATTCCCAATAGTCGATGAGAACGTCCTGACGCTAAACCTTTCTGTCGCGGAGTTGCCTCAATTCCACCTGAGGTTCGAGAACCGTAATCAACTGAAGCTTTGGCACCAGGCCTTGCTTGACTTGAACGCCGTCGAGACGTCCCCCGTGCGCAGCCCGGAGTACGACCGGGGCGAGTTCTCGGAGACAGACGAGGAGGACTGGCAGCGGGTCTCGCGACAGCAGAGAGTGTCGTCGGTTGCCTCGTCATGGGGCGGTCCCAAGTCGGTCACCACGGCGCCCACAGAGTACACTAATTTCCAGAGGAGCCCGACCATGCCCACCTCGATCCACGTGCCGATCGATGTTGTCGTCGTCGTGCCCATCTCCTCGTCGATGCAGGGCGTCAAGATCAACCTCGTCCGCGACGCCCTCAAGTTCATGGTCAACACCCTCGGCGAAAGAGACAGGATGGGCCTCGTTACCTTCGGGTCTGGGGGCGGCGGCGTACCTATTGTTGGTATGACCACCAAGGCCTGGCCCGGCTGGAGCAACGTTCTGTCCTCCATCAAGCCGGTCGGCCAGAAGAGCCACCGCGCCGACGTTGTCGAGGGTGCGAACGTCGCCATGGATTTGCTCATGCAGCGCAAGTACAACAATCCGATCGCAACCATCATGCTCATCAGCGACGCATCGACCTCTGATGCCGACAGCGTCGACTTTGTGGTGTCTCGGGCCGAAGCAGCCAAGATCACCATTCACTCCTTTGGTCTCGGCATGACGCACAAGCCGGATACGATGATTGAGCTGTCCACCCGCACCAAGGCGTCATACACGTACGTCAAGGACTGGATGATGCTCCGCGAGTGTCTTGCCGGGTGCCTCGGTGCCATGCAGACGCTCTCTCACCAGAACGTCAAGCTCAAGCTGAAGCTGCCCGAGGGATCGCCGGCCAAGTTCCACAAGATCAGCGGTGCCTTGCAGATCACGAAGCGGGCGACCGGCCGCGACGCCGAGGCCTCGCTGGGCGACCTAAGGTTCGGCGACAAGCGCGACGTTTTGGTCCAGCTTGTCATTGTGCCGGACAACACGTCGCAGGAGCAGCTGCCCCAAGACCCCTGGGACAACATTGTATCCGGTCTGGAGGCGCTCGGTGGCACCGGCGATGGTGACGACCAGCGAATCACGTCTGTGGAGGAGGTTCCTTTGATCCAGGCGGACCTCACGTGGGGAGACATCCTGCGAGACGGCACGCTGTCGCATCTCCCCCGCCCATCTCTGCTCGCCATCACCATGCTCCCCGCCTTGGCGAAGCAAAAGAATTCGTGGGCCAACTCACCCCCGATCCCGCCTCACCCGCACATCGTCCAGCGGCGCATGGAGCTGCTGACGTCGGACATGCTGACCCGTGCTTTGACGCTCGTGTCACGCGGGCAGCACGACCGAGCCCACACCCTACTCAACGAGACCCGGTCCATTCTGAAGGGGCTCGGAAAGGGCGGCCTTCCCCCCATCCCTCCGCCGACGGCGCCGCCAAACAGATCCCTTCCGTCCACCCCGCACCTAGGGAACGACGCTTCACCATCCATCACTCCCGACAGGAAGCAGACACCGTCCCCTACACAGTCCGCCAACTCGTCCGCTGTCAACGGGTACCCGGCCGCGGCCATTGGGCGCAGCCGGTCCAACGATGGCCTCGGTCTGGGCGCTGGCATCGACGCCAATACCGTCGCCGCCCTGGACGCCGAGCTTGAGAGCAGCCTCGAGTGGATCAGTCACCCTGCCGTCTTTGGCCGCGATAGCCGCAAGGCTGTTCTGCAAGCCATCGGGGTCATCAGCTCCCAGCGCGCCTTCACCTTCCGCACACCCATCGAGGCTCTTTGGGCGGGCCGTGTTGCGGGTGTGAAGAAGCTGACGAGCAAGAGCCGTGAGTGGCGCGACGAAGGTGGCGGCGAGGGCGGCATCATGGAGGAGGCTTGATCGAGCTCCGCATCACAACATGCCCATCATATCACGGTTGCCTTGATTCCACACTTGGAATGTCTGGAGTGACCAAGCGGCGGCGTAACGGTTTCTTGGAGGGAAAAACACATTCTTACGGTCCCTTACTCTCAGCACGGCTCGACTTTGCCATGTATCGCGCCCCCAAACTGCATCTGATTTGCTTTTTTTATTACCGATATAGCTGCTTCTGCTCATCATGTCTTTACCGCACCGCAGGATGCTTTGACGGGAAGATACCATATTTGTTTTGCTTTTTTACTTTATTTCTCTACTTCTTGTCTACATGGTCAATTATGACTTTTGGTTTCAGACGCTTGCTGTCGTATGTCATGAAGCTGTTTTGAGGTGCGATACCACTGGGGAGGGGGCCCTTCACATGTCATTATAATTTTCTCATGTCACTGATGTCTGGAGAAAGGGAAGGGCTTGGAGTCATATGGTGGATGGCGGAGGGTGGGCAAATCGGCTGCGAAAAAGCATGCTTGTACATGTTTTGGGATGAACGATGCAGACGTACAAAATATTAGTGCAATACCACTTGCCGTTACCATGCCACACAGACTCTTGCCTTGCAGTCAACGTGAACATGACAAGAGATCCACACAGCGGCAGCAAGGTCGAGCCTCGCTGATGCCCCCCGTCTTTCGTTTGGGTCAGATTATTTTGCCGTCACATTGTGGATATACGTACATTCACCTGGCCAGTCACAGACTTGGACACAATAGTTGTTTTCTACCAGGAACTGGCCTCGATTGGCCAGTCCCCCTTCCCCTTTCCTACCAGAGGAGGGAGGTCGCATGCTCGTCTGATGGCACACTTGTGCCTCTAGCAAGCTTGACCAGACAAGGTGCGATTCCTGGCCAGGTAACACGTGGTTCATACCTGCAACCTGAACAAGATAGACCAAAGAACACACTAATAATCCAACAAAGACACTATCACTAAGAGCCAGAGACCGAGGAAAGGAAAAGAGGTCTTGCGTGGTCAACTTCATCCCAACTGTCAACTGCTCCGCGTCGGTCCGCGCCGTTTCGCATCTCTCAAAACAAAAGCAATCCCTTTTCGTCGCCACAAAGATATCGAGAACGGGCCAAGAGTGAGCCCAGGCTATGAAGGATACCGGAGCAACATTCGTGATGCCTCCAGTGGTAGTGGCGCCAAAATTCGACGTGATAAAGGCCTGCTGGACGTGCGGCCATCACCGCGGCTTCATCTTGTCTGCGATGCGCCCCCCCCAAGACTTTTGTAATGTGAAGCGCTCAAGCATACGGTTCTGATGATTCAGGCGAAGGGCTTTATCCAGCCGACCATCCCATGTGAGCGCGTCATGTGTATATACGAAGCCATCGTGCGACGACGCCGTTGATGCAAAGCCGCAGACGTCCAACCGGCCTTTTCGCTTTCTTCCCATTGTCATTCTTCGTTCCGGCTTCGGCCCAGTTAGCCTAGATATATAATCGTGGGCAATCTCCGACATTATCTCATGGCTTAATTCGGTTTGCTTCTGTGCTCAAGAGGTATGCCACCCCGTAAGAGTCCTAAAATCACACCCTAGTTACAGGTGCTGCCATTGAGGAGCCTCCGCACAAACAAAAAGCCCTCCCGGCAGTAGGATCTTCTATCAAAACGAGGTTCACGATCATAGCTGTCGCTGAGCAAGGACGCTCCAAAGCCAGGGACTCGTTGGTTCTGCTTGCAATACAGCGTCAACGCTGTCCGCAACAGCGGACCAAAACCTCCATGAACTTATACAATGGCTAAAAAGCCAGAAATATTGCCAAGCACGCTGATTTTGGATCTAACATTGACCTAATCTCGCAAACCTGTCAGGCGGGCGTGGTAGTGACCGAGACGACTGCCCTAGCCAGAATCTGTCTCCCTGAGGTATGAAAACACGCTTACTCAAACGTGCCGGCTTGACAGTGTTGCTCACTCATCCACACAATGACGATGAGACATCGGTGCTGGGGGAAAGGGGGCATCGAGTATCAAAGGCCTCTTGCCTGAACACGAAAACCGCTTGCTGAGACGCAAGGGGGGGTGTGGTGACAAGGTCCAGACGTCACGATCGGGGGAGGCCAGCAAATGATTGGGAGACAATGTTGTCTCAAGCCCTCATACCGAAAACGCCCGCGTCGGGAGAAGTAGCTTCTGCTATCCTGTACCCACTTTGCAGGCGTTCATGGTGCATTAAGGCCTGGATTGAACTGGAGGTTCGCTGTCACCACGCTATCTGGAGCCCGCTCGATACACAAGTGGCCCGAGCGAGAATAAGAAAATTAGATGAGGCTGGTCATTGCTATGCTAAACTTACACAACCGCGAAGAGACTCGCGAGTTCAGCGTCCTCTCCTCAGGATCCGAGATAAAGCGAGCCTGCCCAAAGATAAACGGTGCCCAAGTGCGACTGGTCGTTGCCCTAGCCTCCCTTGGTGCCGCCGGTGCAGCCGTTAATAGAGCTAGGAGCCATCGTGATGGAGTTTCGTGGGAGAAATTTGTGTGGTCATGCCGGGTTAGAGAGGCAGGAGGGTGGATTGTAGGCTTGTGTTTGCGTGCTCGGGGTTTTGCTGATGCTGTTGATAACGTCGAGCCGACCATTGTTGCGGCGGAGGGAGGGCGGGCCTTTTCATATAACTGACGGTTAACTCGATGAAAATCACACGTCAAATGAGCTACGAGGTGAATTGATGGCGAGAGAGTGAATCACAATAGCGTCGTCCATTGTGCTAATGGGCTAGGCAGACGGTATCCTCGGTCGCCTCACTCTCACGGCCCTGTAGATAACGTTGCAGGCCATCACTTCGGACGTGCTCGCGCACGTTGCATTTGTCTTCAGGACTCTATTCGGGATATCTCGACGTGACTTTTGGGGTGGTCTATGATCATAAAAACCGACGTAAATTCCATTACCAGCCGCCTCGTTTCCCCGTTTAGTCCTCATCCCAGTTGGGGTTGGGACCGGGAGGCTTGGGGCCACCGGCCCGGCGAGCCACGATAATCTGGTCGACTGACAGGACGGTCCGGGCCGCCTCGGTCGCGAGCTTGATGGCCCAGGACTTGGAGACAAGCAGGTCCAGAATGCCCTCCTCACGGGCGTCCAGGGTACCAGAGCCGTCATCGTTCTAAGCTTGTCAGCATCCTGGTTCTGAAACGGCGGGCACGTAGTCCTTACCTCGACATCGACACCGGTAGCCCAGTCGTCCTTCTTGTGGTGTGCCATGTACAGTCTGCTCAGAACCTCCGTGGCGTCTAGACCGGCACTCTCGGCAAGGGTTCTGGGGATGACCTCAAAGGCCTCGCCGTACTTTCGGATGGCGTACTGCGACAGACCCGGGGTCTTCTCGCCGAGGGCGTTCAGCCGCTCAACGAGCTGGATCTCTGTAGCACCCGCGCCAGGCACAAGGCGGGGGTCTCTGGTGATAGCCTTGACAACATTGACGCCGTCGTCGACGGCACGCTCGACATCGTCCAGGTGGTTCTGGGTGGCTCCTCTCAGGACCAGAGTCGCCGTTCTTGTGGCCTCGTTCTCTTGTCTGAAGACGGTAACGCGGTCCCCGCCGATCTCGAGGGTCTCGACAACATCGATGGAACCCATCTCGTCCGGCATGGGGGCACCCAGCCGAGCAAGGGGGGTAGCTCCGACAACTCTGCAGATCCTGCGCAGCTCGAACTTGCTAAGAATCTTGATGACGAGGATGCCGAATCTGTTGAGGTAATGGAGGGCCAGCTCGCCCACCGTGGAGCCAGCAATAACCACTCTGATGCCGACATCGTAGAGCTCCTTAATGGCAGCCTCGAGGTGCGACTCCTCGCCCTTGGTGAAGTCCATCATCTCCTTGGCGTTGTGCAAGAGCACGGTGCCCTTGGTCTCGGTCTGGCTGTTGTCGATGGGGCAGGAGAAGACTCCGACCTTGGCGCGCTGCGCCTTCTTGACCGAGCCATCAGGCTCCTTGGGAAAGACCATACCCTTGACCACACGGCTTTGCTCCAGGGCGCCGCCCATGATCTTGACCACTCTGATGTTGTCGACGTTGAAACCAGCGGGGTTCTTGGGCAACACCGCCAGGACGGCCTCGGCGACGAGGTCGGAGAGGAAGTCCTCGCTGCCGTTCTGCTTGCTGGCGACGACAGTGCGGATGGCCTTGCTAAGCTCTTCCTGAGACCGAATGTCTTCCACCTTGTCGACGGAAAGCTCGTCCAGCGTCTCGAGGGCGAACTTTTGTGCACGCTCGTAACCGGTAACGATATCTGCCGTCTTCAAGCCCATACGCAGCAGGTCCTCCGCCTTCTTCAGCAGCTCACCGGCAAGAACGATCACCAGGTTGGTGGCGTCGCCCATCTCCGCCTCTTGCTGTTGACTGGCCATGACCAGGAGCTTGGCCGCCGGGTGGACGACATCGAGTTCTCTGAGGATGGTGGCGGCGTCGGATGTGAGGATCATCTTCTGAAGGTGGTTGATGACAATCTTGTTGCGACCGTAGGGACCCAGCGACGTCTGAACGGTCGAGGAGATGGCCCGGCAGGCGTCGATGTTGCGCAGGACGGCTCCATCTTCGGAGTCGTAGCTGGTACGAGGGGGTCAGTCGGTGACCGACAGCAAGGCGGGGGGAGCTTCAGATGGGAGGGGAACTCACTTGTTGTACCCCTGCTTGAACAGGTTCGCGTTAGGCGCGTTGGGGATGTTGAGAGACATGATGAACCAACGACCTGGTACGCTTTAAATATCAGGGCGAGTTCGGTCGTGAAGCTCAAAAACAACAGCGTGAAAAGTACCCTGTGTGTTGATGATATGGTTGCGGGAGCTCCTCTTCCTCCAGGCCTCAAAAAAAAGTCTGGGTGCAGGTGCGGGAGCGTATTGCTGCAGCCTTTGGTGGGTTGGCACTGGGGTGACCAATCACGACGTCGCAGGCGTGCCATTCTTCCGATCCGGCGCATCTGGTGCATTCTACATTTTGGGGGTGGTTCCAGCGCTGTGTCCCGGACGGACCACTGGAGACCCCTGTCCTTCCACGGCTCCTTGCTGTCCCTGGAGCGTGTGAGACAACAGCTGCCAGCCTCGCACTCCCCAACTGGCGCGGTCCCAGGTTGGTTGCTTGTTGCCGTTGGTTTCCTCTCGATAGTCGCCCGTCTCTCTCGTTCTCGGCAGATTCTCACCACACCCAATTACATTCTTCAAGTACCAGATACGCGTCGCAATCGAACCCTCAGCTTAATCTGCCTTCTCCGGGTGCGCAAATCATCATCAAACCCCCTTCCGAATGATACGTGATGGCTCCGCAATCCGGTACGTTTGTGACTCTTTTGAAATCAAACCTACCAAGCAAAGCTCCGCTTGACATCTGCCGCGAATCCCATCTCATCGCAACTCGTCTCCCTACCTTTCGTGGAAAAAGGGCCAATTCCTGTTCCCTCCCCTACACGAACTGCCCCAGACCATTCGCACAATGCCTCCTAAAAAGATCATTCGAGCTAACCCCCCCACGATCGACCTCTTAGCGATCCCCCCTTCCCTACCTCCCTCCGTCGAAGAGGCCTACCGGAGAAAATGCGTCCAGCTCAAGCAGCGCACCGGCGAGGTTGAGGAGGAAAATGACGCGACTCGCATCCGTCTCGCCCGGATCCGGCGACAGATTGAGAAGCTGCGGATGGAGAGGGCCTTTTTGCTGGAGCAACTAGCTAAGAGAACAAGCACCAACGTGGAGGATTCAGACGGCAGCCCGAGCCCGCCACCGACTGTAGGCCCTCCGCCAAGCCCACCTCGACGACAAAGCAGGTTGCTGACACCATCTCAGCCTCAAGAAAAGCCTCTGCGTACGAAACGCGGTCACCGGAAGCCTTCGGTCCTCGCCGAGATCGACGCCGCTGCTAAGGGCAACTCCAGACCGCTCAGCCAGACCGCCGCGACCATCTCACCCAGCTCCGAGACTTTCTCCCACACCCAGGGCGGCGACACCCAGGCCTCGGCGCGCACCAACGGTGTCGCGAAGCCGCCCAAGCGTCCAGGCAACGCGTTTGAGCTGTACTGCGCCGAGACGCGGCCTGCTCTCGAGGAGAAGAGCAAGGACGACGCTGACGCCAACGTTGACGAGGAGCTCGCCCGCGGTTGGAAGGACCTGCCGGACGGCGAGAAGGAGACGTTCCAGAAGCGCTCCGAGCAGGAGATGGCCAAGTACCAGAAGGACAAGGATGCCTTCGCGGCCAAGAGCAAGAGCGCCGAGCCCAAGGAGGAAGAGGAGCGCGAGAAGTCGCCAGAGGCGGCGCCCGCGGCATCGCAAGACGAAGACGTAGAGATGGCCAACTACGACACCGAGGAGCAACCGGAGGACACTCCGGCCGCGGACGACAAGGCGGACGACTGATGCGGCTCCGCGCACGCCGCGTGTTGGGACGGGTTCAGGCGTTGGGGCGGCTTTGCGGGTAGAGACTTGATTGCTTGTTTGTACAATACGAGGCACCATAAATAGCACCTGTGGATGGAAGCGTCACAGCCGATTGATTACACCCTTTCCTGCGCCGCCACCCTGCGCCGTGATGCTCCTTCTCTCTACTGTGCCACAAGACGGAACTCCTGTGGTGTTCTGTGTGCCCTGATGTGGAATCCCCTCCGATCGCCTGACTTTTCCCGCCCGCAATGAACCGCTGCCAAAAGAATGCCATACAGTACATGTTACTAATCCGATGCATACAAGTCCACCACGATGTTGATGGCTGCGACGAGAATCTCGGCCGCAATGAGTACAATTACTGCGCACGCCTATTGTTAGTCACGCCTTGCGACGATGGGGAAGGGATAACGCACCAATCCATTCCAGCTTCTCTCCGTGTCCGTGGCTGAGCTGGTCCTTGAGCACGGCGAGCAAGTCCGCAATGACGTCCAGTCGCTCATTCAGGAGGCCGACACGCTGGTCCATCTCCAGGTAGCTACGGACAGCCTGGTACACCGGTTCGAGCTGAGGCTCGACCCAGAACAGCTCTGGGGTGTCGAGCACCGAGCCGTTAAGGTGGATGTTGATGCGGAGGATGAAGAGCTCGCCAATCTGCATGTTGATCTGCGTTCGGCTCAGGGCGATCTTGCCCGTCAGCGCGATCTGCGTAGGGATGTCTTTGCACGTGTCGACCGTTGAGGCAATCAGTTCCTCGAACAAGGACGTCTGCCATCGTTAGCAACCGTAGTATAGTCGGGCTGCGCATCCGCTGTGCGTTACCTTGACACTCTGCGCTAGAGCATGAGAGATGGCCAGCTTAGTCATGTAGTTCCGCTTGTCTCGCAGCGTGATGAAGTCGTTGTAGATGCGCGCCTGGTACTCCCGCGTGTAGTAAAAGTTGAAATGTTCCGTCTCAACATCATCCGGCGCCAGCTTCTCCGTCTCGAACTTGGCAATCTCCTTGAGGAACCTCTGCTCCTCAGCCGGGGTCATGCCCCATATCACGACGACTCCGTAGTTGAAGAGGAAGACCTCGGGGGTATGGATCTTGGTATCAAAGTCCGGGTTGGTCTCGACCAGTGCGTGCTCCTCGCTGCTCCCATCGAAGCCGTCGACAAACCCAGAGTCCTGTCTGCCTTCTGACTGGAGGTCGATGAGGTTGTCCCGAGCGAAGCCGCTGTCCGAGACATCGCCCGTTGAGTGCCGCCTCTCGTAGGCCTGCACTGGGTCGGGCTGGGAGCCGGCTCTACGGCCGTGCCTGTGCTCCACAGTCTTGCTGTAGTCGTACGCCGAATATATGCACTCGTCGATCAACTTGGGGGTGGCGCCCCTCGACTTTCCTCGACCCTTGAGGAAACGCATCAATCCCTCCATTTGGTACTTGTTCGCCGTGCAGTACGCCGTCACCCTCGGCAACCGGTCGCGGTCCGCCTTACCCAGGCGTGCGGCATCTCTGCGCGCCGTGGGATCCTTGATCCGCGTGTACTGCGAGTACACGTCCCTGCCACTCTCCTCGTCAGGGCTCTCCTCGTTGAGCTCTGGGTTCGGCAGCAGCTTAAGCTTCTGCGCGTTCTTGGTGCTTCGCTGCGGGCCAATCTTGGGCACCATCTGGGGGGGTATATGGCTCGGCACAGCTCCATGGCTGTTCCTCCGCCGCAGCTTGTTGTTGATGGAGGCTAGTGCAGAGTTCTGTCCGGGACTCGTCGACAAACTGTTACCATGGCCCGCCTTGAACCGTTGAAAGGCCGGCTCGGGCTCTATCGTCTTGGAGACGGGATTCGGGTTGAAGGTGACGGTGCGCGACGATTTCGGCCGGGTTTCTGTCGTTGAAAGAAGTGGCGTGTTTTCGGTGGCCGAGGCCGAGCCGCCGGCTGTTGTTGTCTGGTCCATTCTCGAAATAGCTTTTTTTTTTTTTTTAATTTCTTTTTCTTTCCTTTTTTTCCAGCTCAGGGGGGGTATCACAAAATAGGATTGCTCGGGTGACGGAAGGGAATATCGTCAACCGCATGTCGCGACGGATTAGAATTTGGGTGGCCCTTTTCCCTTAGCTTGACGGTGTCCGGAGAAAGGTCATTGCAGCGTGTGTGAACGACGGGAGCGACAATGCTTTGCTGGGTGCGGGAAGTGTGCTAGATTTGCACCATGCCTGATGACGTCCTCACTTTTCACAAATTGGGGGAACCTCCCAGGGCCTGGCACAAGCTGCGGGCTTCTAATTTTGCGGGGAAAGCTGCTTTCGGTGCGCTAATTACCCGGAGCGCTGCCGGGCGACACTCCACTGTGGGAACATTCAAGTGCATCTTGCATACGGAGGAGCGTGTCAAAAGTAATGATCCATAGTGCCAAGACTAGAAGTGGGGACTCTAGGAGGGAAGACTTCAAGTTACCTCGTCTCATCAGACTCTTTAGGGACTCTAGAGTGTTAATAAACTATAGCTTTAATCTCTTAGGGGAAACTCGCTTAATGTCTCAGGGGAGATAGGCACTTTAGGTATAGAGCTTAAGAGGTAGGTAGGGAGAAGTATGGTGAGCGTTATGTTCTTATGTACTTCCTTGTACTGATACTGTTGGCTAGGTGATTGTGCTTGAATTGTCTTGGCACTGTGGATCCCTACTTTTGACACGCTCCTCCGTACTTGCATAGGCACCTACGGGTCTAGTTCTGTGTCTGTAAGCCCTTCCCTTGACACTCGTTCGGTTTGCATCTTGCAGCCGTAGCTTTCGCTTGTGCAACCGGCATGGCAACTCTCTTCGGCTCACATGCATCTTGGAGCTGGTGCTGGCGTTCGAGATGGGCTTGTCATCCATCAGTCAAAATGACAGCTTTATGGCATGTTCAGAACAGTACTATGTGAATGGGGCACACAGTTGTACAACTGCAAAAACTACATCGCATACACCCAGCTCCTCTCGCTAATTTTCCAGAATCCTTGACTCAAAGTTGAAGCCGGCTCCCTGCAGCCGGTCGATGAAGGGCTGCCCCAGGCACGATGGGGTGAAGACACCACCGGGCAGGTCGACTTCCTCTTCCAAAAGTGTCGAAGCAGCTTGGGCCAATAGGACAGCCGTCACTTTTCGCAAGAGTCAGCACTCTGTCAAGACACACCAAGTGAACGGACTCACAGTAGTACATGCTGCCATTGAACCATGCTCGGCAGAATGCCTTGGAACATCCCGTCTTGGGTTGCTTGTCCGGTATGGCAATGCCACGATACTCAATTTCGTCCTTTTTGGACGCCTCCCTGTCTGGTCCTTGGCCAGGTTGGTAGACAAACACTTTGACCAGTTTGCGGAACGGCGCAGCAGTCGCGAGAAGCAGGCCGAAGAACGCCAGGCTCCAGTGGATGGCGATTCCTTGGAGGTACCCCTTGGCTCTCATGTACTCATGGAACGAGAAGTTGGGTCCGTAGGACTGCTTCTCCCGTGAGGGCAAAGTTTCCAAGAGACCCCACGTTCTTTGGACGATGGGCGCGTCCGTCATCCCGGCAATGGATGTAGTCATCAGCCCCAGACCCGGCACATTTCGCAACCCCACCAATTTGGTGAGCAGGGACGTCTGCGATTGAACGTGGTTGCGGTTCTGGATGGGCGACAGAGCGTATGGCTTGTGCTGCGCCCTCACCTGCGAAAGGGTGAATGAGTCAAACAGGCTGAGAACCGTCGCCAGTGTACCGCCAGATGGAGCTGAACTATCGTAAGACTTGGCATTAGAACGACATTTCGTCAACGATTCACCGACCAGACGGACGGTGGTCTGGGGGGCCTACTCCAGGTGATGGATGGACACCGTCACGGCGCCCGTCTTGGCTGAAAGCTTCTCGCGGACCTGTTTTGCCAGCAGCCAAGTGACAAGGTCAGGCGGTGCCGACTCGATTCCAATCTGCGGGAACATCATCGCCCCCGTCTCCCGCGCGACAGAATCATACTTGTTAATCATCGTGCCGGTCCAAGGGATCTCGCCGGTGACATCCAGATAATGCGTGCCATTCTCGGCACAGGCTCTGAACGCATGCTCGCCATACTGCGCATATGGACCCACAGTGGTGATGAGAATGTACGTTTTTCTAGCGAGCGCCTCAAGATCCTCGTTGTTGACGCAGCAAATTTCAATTTCTGCAAGCACTGGTCAGCATAGATACTTGACGGTGAGCTAGGTGGGTGTTCGGCCGCCAAGCTCGTACGAAGGATCTGGCCCTTCAGTCACTCGTCACCACCTCTCGATCTGTCCGCAGATGCAGGTTCTCGCCTTCTTGCCAGGTTGGTGTTGGCAGCTCTCCAGGGATAAATAGCCGGCGAAGGTCGAATGCAAGACAGCCATATGGCCTAGGAAAATCCGTTGGGATTCGGACGCTCGTCTGCTGTTGGTGCGCAAAATCTTGTCACTCACCTGGCTGCAATCTGTCGGGACTCAGCTTCTTGCACTCGGCAACAAGTTGCCGAAGCTTCGCCTCTGTACGACCGGCAACGGCCCATCTCAGATTGGTCGTTAGGTGTGTCGTGATGTGCTCTGCTACGAAGGCCCCGGTGTATCCTAAGAATCTCGTCAGCAGTGGCGCTCCCTTCGTTCGACTGCCGGCATCTCGACTTATACGCACCAGTGGCACCAAAGACGACCAGGTCGTACTGGCGGTCGTGCTGTTTAAAAGGCATTGTTTGATGGGCTTGCCAGGATGGATAATGTTGAGGTTGCTTTGAAGGATACACAGTCTCTGATATTGAAGGACGAGGGATAGGTGAACTCGGTGGTAGTGGCCAAAGTGTTATAAAAGTTTCACACAATTTGCTTAAGTACGTTAATGTCATGCGCGGCCGGCTGTCTTTCACACCCCTATAGTGCACCGTGAGAAAAAAAAAAAAAAAGTGGCACTCAGGGTTCAATGATCACAAACAAGAGCCCGTCTTGCGGTCCATTGGTGACACAGTCCATGATGCGGCCGTCGTCAGCGCAAACTTTGTTGTGTAGCAAACGGCGATATCATCTCTTCAAGGCATCTGGTCCGCGCAGTTTCGGCGCAAAAGCGCTTCCATGGCCGCCCAGACGCTGTGCTTTCCGTTTATGGCATACAAGGCCC